TTAGTTTGAGCTCACTGCAAAACATGATAACTGCGGTTCTACTGCTCTTCGCGTTGTAAAAATTAATTTACAAGAAACTATAGTAATCATAAAATTATGCTTATTTTAATATCTGTAATTTGAACTAAGCTATTAAACTTTGACTGGCACAAAATTTCGAAAAACAACTCTACCATTTAAAAACAACTTATCGAAAAGTGGATTTTAAAGAGTTTATACAATATACACAAGCCCCCGAGGGCTGAGATTTACAGCTCTTGCTTGTTTCTTCTGGGAAATCTAAACGGAATTTACCTATTAATAGATTTAACTCATTGGTAGGCCTAGGGTGCTACGTAGGGGGGGGGGGGGTCCAAGGGGAACTTTGGGGAACTTTGGGAAAGTCCCCCAAGATTTCTGAAGTTCCCCAAAAAAAAGTTCCCCAAAACTCCCCAAAGTTCCCCAAAATTCCCCAAAATTATTCAAAATTATTCAAAATTATTCAAAATTATTCAAAATTATTCAAAATTTCTCTAATATACATTAATACCCATTAATGTTAACATGTATGTTATCATAAGGTATAATCTTAACTTACTTGTTGATACTTGCAGCATGATAATTTTTTTGGCATGATAATTTTTTTGGGGAACTTTGGGGAATTTTGGGGAACTTTCTGAAGTTCCCCAAAAAAAGTTCCCCAAAATTCCCCAAAATTATTTGTTTCATTGATAATTTTTTGGGGAACTTTGGGAAAGTCCCCCAGGTTTCCTGAAGTTCCCCAAAAAAAAGTTCCCCAAAACTCCCCAAAGTTCCCCTTGGACCCCCCCCCTACGTAATATTAAGGACCCATATTACTTTCGTGGGTTAATACTTTTTCTCTTCAAGTGTAATATCATATCCGTCTTACATCAGATGAGAAGATACAGTATCTTAGATACTACTCGAATAATGATTAGATACTATTCGAATACCGGTATAAATGCATGTCTATAAGATTACAGTCCTGAACTAGATGGAATCTAGATTTATAAGAGTAGCTCGGGTGTTTATACCATATATGGTCATGTAACTTATCAGCTGAGATATCAGTCAGGAGGTTTTCTTTACGTACGGGGGGGTACCAATGGCATAAATGGCATAATGGAGAATTGGCCAAACAAAATTTCCATTTATGCCATGAAATTTCTATGCCATTTGATGAATTTTATGCCATTTTTCTCCATTCTATGCCATTCGAAATATGAAATTTTAAAACTTTGAACTGAGAATTTAATTTAACGAATTGTCTGCACCCCACTAGTACTGTCCACCTTTATCTCTATTTATTGTACTACAACATCTATTTTCACCCATTAAATTCCTCAAAATATCCCTAGCAATGGGCATTATTGATTATAATTAGGTTCAATGTATATCAATATGATATGATGATTTGGTTGATTGTGGACAAGTGACCGAGCAGTATGGCATAGTACACGCTACACACCGTATAACAGAGAGGACAGTCGACTGAATGCTCCCAGTCAATCGGATATCCAAATTAACAGTGGAAAACTGTAACATTACCAACTCGATTAAAATATTATTTGTTAATGATGTGTACAGATGTATCGTGTCGGGACCGTGTTCATATAGAATGTTTTGAAATTTAAACATATTCACAAGATTGATAATGATCTGTGTTTCGAATGGGTAGCCTCTTAAAAATAATATTCATTGATATCTCGATGAACCTGTATATTAGTATTACATAGCAGTTCACCAAATGACCTGAAATACTTGCTTCCTATTATACAAAATTATGATGACATAATATTTTGCTTAAATATCTTCATATTCACTGCTGCATGGCAACATAGCACTCCTTAATTAGTTTTCTATAATAACGTTAATCTAGTATAATCATTGTATGCTTTTGAACATCTCACAATTTGGGCTGTAGGACTGTAGAGCGGGGGACTGTATGACGTACTTGCATTGGTCAAAAGTAGGACCCAAGAGCGGAGTCAAATCGCCAGGGTAGGAATCTAGAGCGGAACCCCCTTACCGGAACCATACTATAAGGACCCTAGAGTGGAGTCAAATCGCCAGGATAGGACTCTAGAGCGGAACTCCCTTACCGAAACCATACTATGAGGACTCTAGAGCGGTACCCACATGTAAATTTTGGACCGGTTAGAAATTTGAGATCGGACTGTAGAGTGGACTTGGTCGGAAGATTGAAATCAGATTAGATGCAACTCGTGATTGATTATTATAATAGTGAGATTAGAATAATTCATGGAGTTGTTGAAGCAGAAAATTGTCCTAGATTATTTATATTATACATCATATCATATTGTAATTTTTAGATACGTTAGACAATTGTTCGGTATAAACTTCTTCCATTTGACTGAAATATCCTGATGCTACTCTAAAATGCAAAAAGATTCTTTGATAAAGAGGTATAATTATGAACTGGTCGATGTGATTTCGCTAAGCGAAATACCGACCAAGTACGTGCATGTGCACTCAAGCAGATCATTTAGGAATGAGGATCTCATCGCGTGACACTTTAGCACCTACTAAGGGTATCTCATGTTCAGTCTAGTGACAGGGTATGTTCCAGATCAGATCCCATCGCATAGCGGTTCTTGTTAGTGATTTCGATAGTGCAGTATAAATGTCACAGAGAATTTAGTTTAGTATATCACATTCGATTCCTACTCCTCTTTACAACTATCTACAATATGCTGAGTAACAAGGCCGTCTTCATCCGGGGACAAACAGCTGAGATGGGTACGGGAGAACGGACTGAAGAAGGACTACGACGAAGGAATTAACGACCCCCTTACCAATTCCTGGACTTCAGGTCCTGTTCGAGTGTGGATACGTAGACTTATGCACTATGCAGCTTGCCTTTCTCCCAGTGGACGATGTTCTCCCTTCTTTCATGGAGCTCCTAGATCTTATACCCTCCCACCTTGGCCTCGACGACTTCCTTAACTACTTCATGACGAATTGGGTACAGGGAGTTTCCACCGCTCGTAGCACCAAACCTGCCCGCTTTCCTCCGCAATCCTGGAACCTCGTCGACCGGACTACCTGCAACTTCAACTACGCAGAGGCCTTCAACAGAAAGTTTGCAGCAATGTTGGGACACTCTTACCCAACTATCTGGACCTTTCTTCAAGCCGTCTACATAGAACAGTCCACTACAGATGAGATGATGCTCAAGGAGAGTTACGGGGATGCTCCTCCTGCAAAACGAGCCCGTCAGCGTACCAAGGACAGCCGACTGGCACATTTAGTAAAAGTCTACGACGATCATGACATTGTCTCACTCTCCCACCTTGACATGTTGAGGAACGTGATGGTCGAGGAACTGAGTGAACTATTCTAAGATATTTGATTCGCAGTATTAATGTATAATAAGTTGTATCAATTCTATCATCATTATGTGACGACTATTATTAATCATTGATTAAAAAACATAGCTCAATCTTCAAAACTTTACTCTCAAATTTCTAACCGCTCTAAAATTTGCATGTGGGTACCGCTCTAGAGTCTTCATAGTATGGGTCCGGTAAGGGAGTTCCGCTCTAGAATCCTACCTTGGCGATTTGACTCCGCTCTAGGGTCCTCATAGTATGGGTCCGGTAAGGGGGTTCCGCTCTAGAGTCCTACCCTGGCGATTTGACTCCGCTCTAGGGTCCTACTTTCGAATTTGCTTTTCTTGAATAGTCAAATGTTTGGTATATGTTTGATATAATACATTTCTATTTTCTTTATTTGTCATATGAATCTTTAAAGATCATTCCAAGCGTTATAAAACATGAAACATGTCTCTTATTCAAGTACTAATAATATTTGCGAATTTAAAGTCATCCTAAAGGTCAAATACGAAGAGCTAAATTCATGGCATAAATTGGCATAAATGGAGAATTGGCCAAACAAAATTTCCATTTATGCCATGAAATTTCTATGCCATTTGATGAATTTTATGCCATTTTTCTCCATTCTATGCCATTGGTACCCCCCCTTACGTACTAATCAGTAATCATTTTTACATAAAAGAGAAAGTTTCAGATGGATTTTGTTGTGAATATTAACGCTTGGTTTTGGAGTCTCCAGAAAATTGACATAATACAAAAGTACTGACATTAGATTTTAGAATGTAACTGCAATAATAAGATATGTAACAAGAATATGTGAAATGAACAAAATATGTGAAATGAACACAATATGCGAAAATATATATATCTACAAAACATAACATTGCTACTGGCAACGCCTAGTAGTGATTAACTGTTCTTTATAAAACACAAAACACATAGTGTTACAAATCACACTCTTATTGTATTTCAAATCCCTCAAGACATGTGTTTCTAATTTCTAATTTCTGTGTTTAGATATTCCAGATAACACAGGTACCGTCAGAGTCCTTATCGAGGTATTTAAAAGGGGGTGGAATGTAGAGATTTTAACTTGCTGACGTCATAATTTTCTATTAAAATAAGAATTATGATTAGATTTACCCAGCAATACATCAAGTAAGAAAAATAAACAATTTAAAGGACCTCCAATCTGCTGAAAAGGACATTCAGATCAGTCCAAATCACTGTTATATTAATATAATGCCCTTCTAAGGATTTAAAAGTCAAAACATAAAAATTGTGATTATAATGATAAATTGATCATAAAAAGTTAATGAATATAGTATAGTGTGTATTCTATCATATTGGGACCCACGTACTTAAGATATCATGTTTCATCCTATTCAATATATCACATAGTTACTCTCACGTACGTGATCGGAATTCTCTTTTGTTTTTGTCCGCGGATTCTGCACAATTTTACTCAAGATAGTTTTCTAGATTTAAGGGTCAAAATCAAAGGGAACTTTTATAAATTGGAAATTTCTCAGTCTAAATTAGCATCTCCCCCCGCATTTTTATCTCACAATATCCGCAAATAACGACAAAAATTCCTGGAGAAATTGTGGAACCTTCTGGAATGTTGACAATATTTTCTTTTAGGGATAAATCGTGGCGGGAGAAGGTGGCGTATCTATTCAGTGACCGTGGCAAGAGTAACCCTTTCGAGAAATCTGAAATTGACAAGTAAGTATTTTTGTAGTAAGTATTTTCGTTTTAAATGTGGATCCTGGTGGGGAAGTGAGGCATATTTTTTTGACACGTGACTGTAATTATGGAGTTTGTCCGTGGAAGCTGATTGGTTAATTATTGTCACGTGTCTACAAAAATATGCCTCCCCTCCACACCAGGATCCACATTTACCATCTTGGAAGATGTGCTGAGTTATATTGCGTTTTATAATTTTATGGTTTTAATTATTCTTCATGATTTAACTTCTTCATCTTGGGAATTGTCTCATAACCACATTATCGCCATAAAATAGCTCGCACATGATAATTAATTATAACCACTCATATATTACCACCCATAATTGGTCGCTATTCTAAATCTCTAACGTAAGGTATGTTAGCTATGTATGGTATGTAAATTGTAAGGACCTAGTTCTGATCCAGGTAAACCAAGGTCATTAAATAACGCACGTAGTGATTCCAGCTAAATTTACATAAATGTACTTCTTTTTGACACGTGTCTTGCTTCCCACGTACTCAGTTATCAATCCTAATTAGTACTCAATTATCAAGCCTAATTATTAATTAATTAGCAAGCCTAATTATTAACTGATGAAGAAAGAGGAAACCGCTAATAACTTACTACAACACCCAATGGCTAACGAGTGGGATGCACTTAATTAACACGCTCGTTCGTAATTAAATATACAGACTGCTGGTATAGTAGTAGTGACTGGATCAAACTTGGCTACTGGGCCACTTTCTGTCAGTTTCCCAGACTGTAACATGGTTACATGTATTTACTGTTGAATGTTGATCACCTTGGATAGACGAACTTATATAAAACTTTGGATATTTGCCAAAAAACACTTTGGATATTTGCCATAAACACTTAAATATTACACTTTACTAGAAGCTATATTTAGTGTTAGTTGAAACGGCGACGATGAGTTGAATTGTGATGACCACTTATATCAGAATCAAAATACCACGCTGCATTCCTAACCTTTTCTACGTTACTAACCGAAATACAGACTACATACTCACAAGCACTCAAATATGTACATGCGATTCAACGAGTTCTTCAAGAATGTCATTAAATGGAAATGTCTAGATTTTGGTTGTCAGTGCTGTGTATAACGAAACCCAGCATATCGATACAGTTGCTAATCGCTGGGTTGGCGTGTAGCCAAACCTTCAGAAACAGAGTAATTGTTTAGGAATTTGTGGTATGGATCGTAAAATTTCGCTATGGTTCACATAGTGTGTTATGCTTGTAACTTTGTAATTAATCGGAAAATATTGGAGTGTTTTACAGTTTATGCTATTGACCATGACAACACTTGAGGAATGTATTGAATATCTCTTTATTTTCTCAATCGCCCGCCAACGAAGATACCACAGCGGCAAACTTACTCACTGGCTCAACTCTAACAATTATCACACAGCACTAGAGAAATATTCTCTTTCCCACGAAAAAGCATGTCGTACATCCCATTACATACAATCAGCTTTCACCAGTTAATATTTCAGCTGGTGTCACTGGCTGCACATTCTTAAATGACACCAATATATACGCTCCAGACATACACTAGCACATTGCAATATCATATAGACCGATACTCTGCCATAACGGCAAGAGCTACGCCTGTTTACATTTTTAGCACACGGGACATATCCGCAAGATACGCGAACAACTAGCAAAGGTGCGCGGCTCAACAAATAAAACCACGCTATTGTCACAATTTACCTTACTGTAAATTGGATGAACGCGCGACTCAGTTTGTTTCCGCGTAAAAAAGGCGGTAACATTACCTCTCGTGTCATATCCTGTATGAAATATATATTATATATAGCACACCTTGGCGATGCAATTTTTTGTGTAAGCCGTCCCAACTTACGGGCTTTTCATGTGTAAGAACCCTCAACACAGCATACTACATCCTGTTAAGAAATACGACGTTATCCTCTGGCCGTCTAGTAAATTGTTGTAACGTACACACTCAACCATGGAATTGTGCCAGTCTATTAACGGGGTATCACGTTACTAATAACTGTTCAGGACCCTGACCTGTTGGGAGAAGTTGGACATTCTGTACAATCTCTGCGAGATGAGGATGGAGTGTGCTGACGTGAACGGGATTATTAAGGTAATTACTTTGACTTGTTGTTAGATAATAACATGCGAAGAAATGACATCTGCTATTTCGGGGAGGCAGCTTGAACTGGTTTTAACTCATGCCTGTACTACTGGGGTTAAATTAGTTGGTGTTTCTAATTGCTGTCAAAGTATGACAAATCTGCACCATCTCCCCGCTGTTACCCTCATCTATTGAACGAACAAAATGTCAATTCCTGCACTGTCTACAGTTTGTGTTGGTGATGACACATGAATGTCTTAAAGATACTATCCTATTTCTATAGTTTTTTCTACGTGCATTAACATTTTTTCGCAGCTAACGTAACCCCCTCTCCTTCGGTTAACGGAGTTGGTTAACGGTTTACCTTCAGACCATTGAAAAGTGGCAGCTGAAGACCCTGCCGATTGGTGAAGATTCAAACGAGATGCTTTACTGGTACTTCTGTGGCACTAGGATTTACAGACAAGACAGAAGCGTGGAACATCTTGAAAGAAAATCAGGTAGAGTGTGTTTCAACTGTTTTAATTTAAAACTGTGTTGTTTTTAGTGATATCCTTTGTACAATTTCAATATGAAATATTAGTTTTTCACATTATCACGCCACACGTTCAAACTATTGTCACCTTTTTAAACAACCCTTCCCTGCCTAGCTCGGAGATCAGTAAAGAGACAAAAGTCGACCTCATCTCCTGCTCTAATCGGAATGAACGGACTAAAGAAGTACGCGTACGAAACTCTTCTCAAACTTACTGATACTCCTAGGAGCAATCTTATCAAAGAAGAGTAAGTAATTACTGTAATTACTGTAATTACTGTCAGTTAGTAATTACTGCCATTATTTTCTGTTCCAGCAAAATCTGGTTTACTAAACTCTGTAAATAAGCCGCTTACTCAACCACTCTTCATAAACCCAGAATTCATCTCTGCCTGCTTGATTTAATATGTTCATTAGTTAAACTTGTTCACAATGTTCACCCTTGGCTCCAACCCTGTGGCTAAATTCTCACTTTACATACTTCACAGTATCCGGTGAAGTAAGTAAAGTGAGACGGCCGTGTAATACTGATTTACCAGTAATAAATGAGACATCCATTTAAATAATAATCAGCATAGTTATCATTTCATTTAACCTACATAGTCGCAATTATTTTCTAATATTTCCATGTAATTGCTTTAATACCAGTTTCGCTTAGTCATTTTCTCAGAATCTCATGACATACCAACTTTTTTCTTCCGAAAAATAAACTCCTTCTAATGACGTGAAACGTAACTGCAATTCAATAAATCAAAAATTTAATCCTTAAAGTCTATATTTATTTTCCAGAATTTACTTGGGACGATTATTCATAGCTCGATTGCAATTTTGTTCACAAAAATGTATTTTATGAAAGTCAGCAGTCATTAGATCTTCAATCCCTTAATTTCCCCCGTAACAATCCTTGTTTTGTTAGACATTTTCCCTCATATGATATCGTCACTATTGAGCATAAATCTCTGGAAGTCGTCCAATGATATCCTCCCTTCAGATCCGACTTGATGTATAATGTTCTGTATATCTGCGTCCTGAACAGTTCACGCTTTAAATTGACATATTAATTAATTAATTGATTAGTTAATAAATAATTATTTAAGCTTAAAAACCGGAGAAACTGAAACATTTCATAAAACAATATTATTTGAGTTACCTGAAACTGTAGTCCTAGATTGGATAGAACTGACTTTAACTTGTCAGTGTCAATAAACCCGTCCCCGGCATGATCAAACGCATTAAATGTCACCTGTGCCAATAAATTGTCAACTCCTTATAAATTGCTCATTACATTATGTTGACCTTTACCTTATATGGTCATTCAAATCTGGTCATGTATTGTAAATCACGTGACAAATATCTCCTTATATTGGAATAATCATTGCTACCTGAAGGGAGTCAGTCTCGTTGGTGAGTGCCATGTTCTTCTTGATACTCTCAGCAAACTGTTCGTATGTAACACAGTCCTTGTCCACACCCTCTTCAACAGTTGGGACTGAAGGCGGAGTGATTAGCATCAATTAATTAATTAGCTAATTAACATAGGGTGATTGATAGCAGTAATAGCTAAGAAATTCAGATTATCTTTGAAATTCTGATAGTTAAGGTGGTGCGTGTTATTGAGAATTTGTGGATCACTAACGTCGTCATTGTTGGTCTGGTACAAATCTTAGCACTTTCTATAATTGTAGAGACTAAAAGTATTTCCAACAAACATCCTATACGAGTTTAAGATTTACTCACGTTCCCCTATAAACTCAATAAGATCAGCCTCAGTTGCGTTGATTCCCAGTGCTCTCAAAACACAATCCAACTCCTTTGGTGCTAGCTTCTGATCCTTGTTGACGTCCATAAGTTGAAATAACTCGTGTATTTCTGTGTCTGTCGTCTCCTGTAAATGTAGTATTTGTTTATTTTGGTAATTTCGAGCCTTATACGGGCATTACTCCTTATCTGAGCATAACTCCTAATATGGGCATTAGGTATGGTATTCAAATATGAGCAATCTGGCAATGATAAACTGTAAACTGATCTTGTCAGGGTATTGAAACACATGAAATCGTGGACTGTCTTAAAATACAAACAGATACACAAAACATTTGCTACATATTGGCACTACATTACACTAAACATTTGCTACATATTGGCACTACATTACACTAAACATTTGCTAAATATTTCTACATTACACTAAACATTGCTACATATTGCTACATTACACTAAACATTGCTACATATTGCTACATTACACTAAACATTGCTACATATTGCTACATTACACTAAACATTGCTACATATTGCTAAATTACACTAAACATTTGCTACATATTGCTACATTACACTAAACATTGCTACATATTGTAAAGAATAACGCACGTTGAGGATAGCTTGATTCAATAAATCTTCTTGGTTGTTGTACATATCCATCTCACCGCTGATCACTTAAAAATCATTGTTAAAAACTCTAAGAAAACAAAATTCGAGTTAAACTAAAAACTCCTGTAAAGCTCAGAAAAAACTAAAGTAAAACGTAGCAAAATAAAAGCAAGAAACCCAGCAAAGCTCGCCAGTCGCCACACAACAACGGTATTAAACGTGCCGTGAAAATGACATGAGATTGTTCTAAGTTACCCAAGTTTTCAGTAACTAATATCAAAATTGGAAATAAGCAATACAAGCACCACTAACACCAGCAGTATCAGTGCTTCAACGTATCACGTGATCACTATAACGTGTCACAGATCATTCAATATTAGAGAGAAACTGCACTGAAGTCACTGTGTGTATCAAGCGAGAGTGAGGGTAGATATTGCATCACGTGATCATTACAGGATCTAATACGGCTACTGTTGTGTTGCTGCTTGTGAAGAGTTTTACTGGTTGTTGTGTATTATTTGATTAAAGGTCACGTGAGTTGTCTGGAGAGTCTAATTGTTCGGGAGCGTTTGTCATGTGACGTCACTCAACATGAAACATGAAATATTCAAACATTTTACGTCAGATAAACCACCGTGAGCAATGAAATAATAAAATATTCAAACATCTGACTTTCATCGAAATGGTGGTTTGCGACCTCCAAATCGTCAAATTAATTAAAAAACTGAAGCGATTGGATTACTTTGTTTGGTTGCATCACGTGACCAAGATAGATCATACCCCGACTATTATAAGAGGAAGAACTGTAAGAAGAAGGGTGTACTGACGAATGACACAAGGACAGGTAATATTCTCAAGTCACCGTTTCTCTGATTCACTCGATCCGAACTGGTAATATGAACTGGTGCAACGTAGAGGCTCATCAGGATTTAGGGACCCTATTATCATTCAATATAGTCGGGTCAGAATCTCACTGTTACAGTGTGACGGATAATTGAACCGGTGTGACCACTTTTTGTGTGGCGGCTAATTTCGGGAAAGTGGCACCTTCCGTGGTAGGAGGCTGTTTCTAGGTAGGCGGCTACTCTTGGTGAGGCGGCTGTTTCTAGGTAAGTTGCTACTCTTGGTGAGGCGGCTACTCTTGGTGAGGCGGCTATTATTGGTGAGGTGGCTATTCCTAGGTAGAAGGCTACTCTTGGTGAGGCGGCTAATCTTGGTGAGGCGGCTATTCCTAGATAGGTGGCCATTCTTGGTGAGGCGGCTGCTCCTCGAAAAGCGGCTAGTGGCTCTTACCAGCTTGACGGAAACTTCTAGGCAGGCGGTGCAATTTAGCTTTGACAGCTTGGCTTTGACAATTGACCCCTAGAATCTACATCTCGATAAGCAGATCAAACAAGCGACTCAACTTCAAAAGCTATCAAACTACATCTCCTCGCTAACAATTGCCGTGAAATTCAGCATCTCCTCTTCTTCACTTCTCCTGGACCACAATCAACACAACAAACATGCTCGGTGTGCAATCAGCGTGTTACAAAAGCAAGAACAAACTCCATTGTAATCGGTTAAACATAAAATCAAACATTTGATGCTTAACTGCACTGTAGTTATTTACTGTGAATGTACTTGGAACTGATTGTATCTAAGATAAAGCAGCAAAAACACGCTCAGACAAGGCCCTCAGAGGCTTTTATTGAGGAAATTTCTCCCCTCTTTTAATCTGAGATCATCTTGCAATGCTGAACTTTATCGTTCAGGTGTGACCAAAACTCTTCTTTCAATAATGAACTAAATCGTATAGGTGCGATAAAAAGAAATGGTAATTTACCACTAATCTATCCAAATGGGGGTGTTGAGAAACTGAATGCTCGCAAGGTACATAACTTAACACATGATAATATGTAATGAAGTAAATAGATCGATAATTGGTTATAATTAGTGAATCTCACCATGGGTCTCGTTTTGTTTCTGTGGGAGTTGGCGCCGTTACCAGGTTTACCATTAGCTGATACCCCCTGTAGTGGTGATATTGTTAGGATATTCTGGATCATTCCGTTTCATTAATTATTTTAATTAGCATATAATTAATGTTAATTCTCAACAAAGGTTCATTTCAATAACAAATAACGAGTAAAATGTTTTTGTGTGCAAAATCATCAATTTTTAAAGAACAAAGAGGCCAAAACAAAGATGTTGCCATAACAGCAATACATCAGCAATCGACAAATCAACTCAATTAAGACCATAAGTCCGTGGAGTCCCGCCCAAAATCCCTGACCTTTGCCAAGTTCCACTGTTTGGCTCTGTTACTCCTCTGTTTAGTCTGACTAATCCTCCTGGTTGGTCTATCCCCCACCGAGTTACTGCTCCTCCAACGGGTCAACTTCTGTATCTGCTCACTGTAATCGGTAATTAGGGGTAATGAGTACTTCTGTATCTGCTCACAATAATCGGTAATTAGGGGTAATGAGTACTTCTCTATCTGCTCACTGTAATCCGTAATTAGGGATAATGAGTATTGTCCTTGTAGAGTGAGAGTCCAGGTTGATTACTAGGTTACTAGGTTACTAGTTACCAGTTGCTTACACAACAATTAAATAAGTAACGTGATACCCTGTTATAATTCGAACGTTGCGTGGCTGCAGAATACCTAAGTACATCCTGCATATCATCTTGTATTTAACATTCCAATTTCCAGCGAATTTTGGCATCCAGCGAATGCCAAAAGTGGTTATGAGAGAAGTTTGGGGTTGGTTGCAAATTCACATTCTTTTAGAGCCACGAAGCATAAAAGAAGTTCCGACGCCGGGAATCGAACCCGGGTCTTGTGGGTGAGAGCCACAGATGCTAGCCCCTACACCACGCCGGAGATATTCAAATCTCGAATATCTAATATTTATTGTGAAGAGTAAACTTGTCCACTGAAAATAATTATTGGTTGGTTGGCTATAAAACCCGTCCCCAATCTCGTATTGGAAAATGACCTGACGCAATTCTGAGTGAGAATACGGGTGGTACCTGCAGGGGTATTTATTAAGCATTTAGAGTTCCGTAAAACTGCAGCTACGATTGTGCGAAGATACTTTGTAATAATTTGGGTCGGCATTAACGTAGTGGTACTTGCACTAAAATTTTACAGACATACAGGGCACCATAACCCTTGTCCCTTAATTCAATTTCACGAATACTGCGACATTCGTCTGACAAACGTGATGACGGCACGTGAAAGATCGAGGGATTGTGTAAAATATACATGATATAGCAGTTAAAAAGCATGAAGACATGTTAGAAGAGATGCACATCACGTGTATTCGTCACGTGGAAGATAGAGCGGAGGTTATAAGGGTTAATTACCGATTCAAAGTCTGAAAGTAGAAAATGGAAAATTGCGGGGTAAACGGAACTTATAATTACCGAGTGCGATGCTTCATAATGACTTAATTCTCCTCGATAGAGAATTTATAATGTGTTTAAAATATAGTAGTACGGTGTTGTAAATGTTAACAAAAGGGAGAGAAAATTGCTACAAAATTAGTTAAGCCCCTTGATATGAGGTTAATAGTGCAATGAGGTAGGTATCGGCAGTACAGTCCCCATTTACAGCTCCCCTAATTATAGTTTGGTTCAGAATTAAATTTTCTTTAATGCGACTGGTTTCAACTGAGCTAGTTCATGTTTTTACACCGTTTCAACTTTTGCTCCGTTTATACTTTTGCCATTCAATTGCGATAGTGAAGTCCCGGCAGTAGGCACTAGGCACGGGTTACACTAGTTATCACATACTAACACAGCTACACTCGGTTATTATGACCCTGTTATTACATCATCGTGATAACATGTGTCCAACTTGTATCCAATTTGGTAACCTTCTTATTTTCTGGTTTACTAATTTTAACACGCGTTTCTTCCTAATATAACCAAAAACGAAAAGCTCTCCGAATTAACACTGGAATTTGGTTTACGAGAGGAGATAATATCTCTAACTAATATCCATTTTGTTTTCTAGTGACGATTGTTAAACGGAAACTTTTGTAAGGTCGTTGACTTTGTAGTGAAATGGAGCAGCAAAATGTACCAGTCTTCAAATGTGAGACGAAAATTGAAGAAGAAAGTATTCCACCGGAATTGATCAAGACAGAGATTAAGAAGGAGGAAGATAACTTATCTATCAAATCAGAAGTGTATTCGAATGGTGTTTCTCAGTTGTATTGTCCCAATCAGGAATCAGCATTAGTTCCACACCAATGGGTTCATACCAATGAAAAACCGTATAAATGCTCTTAATGTTCCTACAGTGCAAGACACAAATCAGCTCTGGTTTATCATCAGCGGACCCATACCGGCGAAAAACCGTATAAATGCTCTGAATGTTCCTACAGTGCAAACCACAAATCATCTTTTGTTAGCCATCAGCGGACCCATACCGGCGAAAAACCGTATAAATGCACTGAATGTTCCTACAGTGCAAGACACAAATCAGCTCTGGTTAATCATCAGCGGACCGTTGGAGGCCCCATTTTTGTTAGGCCTCCACCTTTCGTGAAGCCTCTAACATTTGTAAAGCCCCTGAACTTCGCTGACCCCTTTCTTTCCAGTACCAGATTACTTCTCAGTTCTTTCTCCAGTTTTACCAACCAGCATCTCACACGTCTCGCCGTGCAGCTCCTCTCATCTTCTCACCTGGTGAGTCTTTTGTCACACCTGCTCCCACTATCAGCTCACCTACCTACTCTACAACGTTTTCTTCTCCCTCTCATATTTCCTGCCAGGACAGCGACCATGAGACGCAAATAAATAAATAAAATTGCTATTGAAATGTAAATAATTATAATGTACCTTATGCTAAGTCGAAAGGTTTATTCGAGGAAATTTTAAAAATCAGTTATGTTATTATTTCTCTTCATTATCTAGCTCCGAACGGTAAAATATGGATTTTATTTGACAATGTTGTAGGTTTATAAATATAACGTACCAAGATGCGCGCAGAGTTGAACGACGGCATTAATATTTGTAACAAACATTGTAAGAGCATCACCCGGTAATTGACATTAAAATGACATTGACGAAACATTTGTGAGTATTCCCTAAACGATATTTTTTACAGCACCAAAAAATATCAATCACAACCAAATTAATGAATAGTCCTAGTGTATAGCCTGAGCGTAAATGCGAGCTAGTCATATATTTATAACGTATCATAAACATGATGAAGCATGAAAACGCGCACGTGCAATCTCTTGCTGTTGCTACGCAACGACGCGGTCAAACTGTGATGAAAGAAAGCCATTATTCTATCGTCAACTTTTCCTCACTTCCAACATTAGTTATATCTTACGTAATAACTGAAAAAACTACACATGTCTAAAATAACTTACAGTAGTTTACACAACTGATTTAACAGCAGGGTAGAGTACTGCCATGCACTACATACCGTCATAAGTGTTAATAATATGTTAACATGTGGATTCCCGCACTATATAGTGACAACACTATATAGTGACAAGCACTTTGTAGTGACTTGTCACTATATAGTCCTGTCACTATATAGTGCGTTTTGCACACTGTATAATGACATGTGAGACGGCTGCAAATTTACCAAAAAGGATGTGATCACTAGCTGATCCGTCATCTCAAATATTTTATGGCAAGCTGTGGAAAGGATGAGAGGTAAAAATGAGGTAAACTTGTCACTATATAGTGTTGTCACTATATAGTGCGTTTTGCACACTATATAATGACAAAGATCAGCTGTCATTATAAAGTGCTTGTCACTATATAGTGTTGTCACTATATAGTGCGATTACCAACATGTGTTAAATACATTATGTATGTACAGGGTGGGCCAAAAGTCAGTACCCATACGTTGGCCTTAATAGCTCCGCCGTGTTTTATATTTGAGAGCTGTTGCTTTGCAAATGGCATACTATACTTACTGGTTCGAGGATTCCGTCGTCAAAATTTGAAAATTCGAATATTTTAGACCACGCCCATTCAATATTAAAACACCTATATTGTTTTCTCTGAACATGCTGAACGCCTAATTTTTTTCAGAGACGGTAGATTATCAAATGTTGCATATGATCTGAAAACATGAGGCAAAACGGATTAGAAATGACGAAGTTATCAAGCATTTTCTGTATCTCGTTAACAATATTGACTGGGTGATTATGTGACACCGTGACACGGCACCCTTAACAATTCCCATAATGTTTAACGGGGTAGTTAACGGGGGCACCTTATCTCGTGATTAGGTAAACCAATCACCTGATCACACGTAATGAATAAACTCGTTATGCTTCATATGTCGGTCATCTGAGAAGCTACAGTTCTAATTCTTTCAGGACAAACGTAATTCGAATGGCCAAACACAATTCAATAACATTTAGCTTGATCCGACTATCCAAACGATCAAATAAATGTGAAAATGAACCTCCATTTGAAAAAAATGAACGCGAATATTTTTCGAGTTGACAAATTCCTCGAACCAGTGGTGGTACTAAGTCATACCAGAAAGAAGTATTTAAATTGGGCACTCAGTGACTGAGCTATAAAGACCAACGTATGGGTACTGACTTTTGGCCCACCCTGTATGTGTATGTATGTATGTAACATGTGTATGTAACAATTTGGACTCAAGTATACACTACCTGTATCTATCAAATACCTGCTAATTAAATACCTGCTAATTAAATAACAGGTAGTTAAATAACTGGTAGCTAAATACCTCCTAATTAAATACCTGCTAATTAAATACCTGCTAATTAAATACCTGCTAATTTAATAACTGGTTATTAGATACCTGCTAATTAAATACCTGGTAGCTAAATACCTGGTTAAATACCTGCTAATTAAATACCTGCTAATTAAATACCTGCTAATGAAATACCTGGTGGCTAAATACCTGGTTAAATACCTGGTAGCTAAATACCTGGTTAAATACCTGGTAGCTAAATACCTGGTTAACTACCTGGTTAAATACCTGGTGATAGCATGTATAGGATCTGTTCGGGATGAGATCTTCCTGAGGGCTTCTTTATCGGACATGATTTCTCTTTTTTGTAGTTTCTTCAATCTCTTGAGTGACACAATTAGTTTAATTTGTAACGACTAATGACTAACTAAATAAAGATACAACGTTTCGCATAAAATATCCCAAATATTAATAAATGACTATATTTTGAAACTATGCAACAGTCCACAAACACTTACATCAGCAAATGCTCTGCAGAATAACTAAACCAACTAAAAATACTCGAAGTCATAACTGAAACTTTTGTTAAAAACTCCCACGAACATAAAAAAATCAAACACGCGGTACGTTTGAAAGCACGTGCCGTAATAAGTGCCGCGGTACGTATGAGCTCCTAAATACGTACTACGTAGCCGCCTATCTATTGAACCTATTGAACATGTTTGTTTAGAGAACGCTGATCTACTAACTGAGAGGCCACCTTGAACATAACAACATGTTTTAAGTAAGATTTGTCATTGAATTAATGAAAATTATCAAGTTTACCAAGCCTTGTAGCCTGTGTGGATTAAAGAAGGCTCTTTATTGGTTATACTGGAGAGTTGGGATTATTATGATTTGTTGGTTCTGATCACGTGTCAAGATAATGGGTGGTGATTGGTTCTCGACATCAAATTTACTAGCATTGGTTACCATAGTTATAGAATGTAGATGCATGCCCCTCGATGACGATCGCGGAATGTGAAATTCGCTGCTATGGGCTTGGGTCCAACAACTTTTTTTGTCAATATTTCAGGATTTTTCCTTTAATAACACTGGTCATATAGCCTTTAAAAAGTTATAGGATAAGTTATCGGGGACCATTATTAACCAGTAAAAATTCACAGATAAAAGTCAGGGAATTTACAATTGATTGAACTCTTGCATTTATCAAAGAAGCATTCATCAAATTGGCAGTTAAACTGAACACCAAAAACTCGACAGTCAAACTGTAAATCAGAAACTGAGCGATGGGACAAACATGCGTCATTCACTCTGATAAATATGATTCACTCTCAGCTGATAATATGATTTATTCGGTGTGAAAATAATGACTGAAACGTGTTGGTTGTCCGGTAACTCGAGCTCTGTATTCATGAGCCAATCAGTATCCTCCGTCAGAACTGTAAACTTATTATCGGATTTGTTTTTATCATATTTTATTACCCTAGTTTTTGTAATTCATTACATTTACCCTAATTGTTAAATTCATTACCCTAATTTTTGAAATTATCCTAATTGTTTCTGTATCTCTGTAAGGTTGATCCAGTAATTTCGTAATCACCATAACTTAACTAGTTTGAAATAACAAACCAGCTATAGGTATCGTTAGCTAGTAGCTACATTGCATATATCTGATCATTCTGACATTCTTTGTAAAGTTAGTATTTACTTATATTAGCACAAAATGTACTGAACTATGAAATCTACTCATCGTGGAATTTCGGAAAGTGTTGTACACTAAAAACGTAACGGTCGAACGTAAGATCGGTCCCTTCACATCGATTATGTGTCAATCTTTACTACTGTCAATCTTTATATACTGTTGTGAGTGAACTAAATTCTTCACATCAACTGTTATTATTAACTAAGTACCGTCGCTTCAGATTGTAAAATATAAAACAAATTCCTATCCCGGATTTACAGCCCACATATCACGTAATAATGTTCTACAATGTCCGTTACAATGCTGCCAACAATCGATAGAGATGTATTATTACTCAATGTTAACAGCGCTTTAAATTACATACCAAATATTACATACTCAATATTACATATACATATATAATATGCAACATTACATATGCAACATAACATTAGCTACATTTCATTTTGAAGCCAAGTAACAGTTCATTTCACTGCGCCCCAACTCTCTTATCAAATATCACTACACGCAACACATTTAAACCAATATATATATAATATATATATACAAACCAGGGTTAATAATACATGGTCCCAATATGTTCCTTATCGAATACCTTATCTTTAGCCAAACCCCCCGAACCTCTCGTTTACAATTGAGCCACGTACTGGAAATGGTTCCCATTCTGTGCATGTTTTCATTGTTTTGTCACGGTCTTTCTGGAATATTTCGTTTATATGTGGTTCACCAGCTGTGTTGTTGGGTTGTCGTTTATTTACTGACGCGAGTTATTTCTAAATATTATGTATGTTATTAATGTTATCGCATATTATTATGATTCATTACGAATGACCTTATTTTTACACTGAGCACAGTCCTTAAGTTACAGTGATTATAGGTAATTATATAAGTGTAATGTAACCAGTAAAGTTGGAAGAAAGTTAAGTGGATGGAAATCTCTCAGCACTCCCAGGGTGTGTTTCACGTGTGTTTCACGTGTGTAATAAGATATCATCTACTATTCCCGATGACATCTTTCCTCCAACTCTCTGCCTGTCAAATTTACACTGATCTCGTTTTAAGCATGACAAGCGCGAAGATTAGCTAACCAATGACCAGCCTGCGTTCTGCCACCTGACAATAACCAACCAATCAGAGAGCTGTATTCGGATAACCGACCAACAAGGGCGCTGTGTTCAAGATTCTCCCGGCAAATCAGCCAATGAGGTCGCATCATTAGCAATGCCAACCAATCAGCCCCCGCCTCGAATACCACGTGACTAATAATGCTGGCGCATATCCCGGGATGGCTGACCTGGAAATTATACGAAATTATGTATTCATCATGAATCAATTATGAGGAACAGTCGTCAGGGAGAGTGAGGATGTAACGATATTTGTTCGGCATACATGTGGAACATGTTGTACAGTGTGATTAGCACAGTGCACAGTGCACATATTGCAACAAGAATGCAATGGCGGAAGGATATAACATGTGCGAGGAGGGAGAATGTACAGGGTATATTGCTATGTAGAGAGGAATGGTGTGTATTACCATGCCAGAGGGCTGGTCACACGATCAGTCACGTGGGCTCCTGCTCTCTCTCTCTCCGGACCAATCACATGTCTGCGTTGCTGTCACGTGACTTAGCAATTCCTCTTGACTGCCCTACGCCCACGTGACGTAACCACCGTATCACGTGACCCTCCCTTACACTTCCATGGCAACGCTAATTGATCACGTGCACTGAATGTAGCTGCAGGGCAGCTGCTGATTGGTTCTCCTCGGTCACGTGTGCAGATTGCGGTGGTTTGATTGGACCAGGGTCGTATGTAAGAGTATGTGTGTGTGTGAGTGTACTGCTCTCCCCTACTATTTGGCACTCAGCTCTCTTTCGCTGTGGTGATTGCTTTGCGTTCTATTGGTGAGCCAGAGAGAGAGAGAGACGAACTGTGCAGCAGTTTATTGTTTGAATTTACGTGTGTGTTGTTAGTGGTGTGTTTCTGATCTATATGGGGCTGTTAAGTGTGCTGTTTCGTGGATTAAGGCATCGTTGTGGTCTTAGACAATCGCTATTTTCAGTTAACTTTAGCAGAGATTTGCAAGCTTACTTCCGGTTCATTTCACACGTCTACACACAGTAGAGTGAAGAGAGTTTCTAACTAACAGAATATATAGAGGATAGCGAGATGTATCACGTATGTAGGAGTATGCATCTAATAATATGTAGTATGTAATATGTATCACATACGTTTCCAATAGTATTGATCAGTGTTCTTCTTTGTGTGCTAAAACCTCCGTCTCCAACAGAATTAAGATTGGTAACCTGACGTTTAACTCACACGTTTCCTTTGTCTTCCATTTACTTATCCGGAGACATGTCTACCTAGAGACTGGATATTCCGTCACTATTACCGTTGTCTGCTTTGAACACCACGTACAACATGATTTTCTAGTCTCCAGAACGTTCCATCCCCTTTCCATAGTCTGATCTGGATCATGAGGTAATGTTACCTCGTTTATTACCTCATTTTCTGATGGTCTTTACACGTCATTTTCCGTTATTATCCACATCACAACCTCTCTTTCTCTTTGTGAACATGATTAACTCGTTGCAGTTCTTGTGTTTAGTTTTGTGTACATTATAAACGCAGCTTATATCGAGAACTGAGGAATATATGTACATTTTACGTGATATTGGACCACGTTCTCTGTTCTATCATTTTCTCTGATGTTCTAGACTTCATTTTGTGTTTAGTGAATCGCTTTCTGCGGTTTTGTTTATTGAAAAGAGCGGGAAATGTTTGGTTTCTATACCCTAGATCGATTACAATTAACACCAAATAAGGCGCGCAATCAGCCACGTTGTACATGTGTGTTGAACGTGGCTTATCTCGTTACAGCTATACAGCTATACAAACCAACTAATTTTCCCGCTATTTTCACCTCCACTGCTTCTGCAATTACGGTGTGTGGATACTCGTTATTATTAGCGAATTGTTACATAAAACATTACACCTGCGTAATGTTAATATGTATAATATATATTACTGAATATATTACTGAATATATCCATGTAAATTGTAAAATACTTAAGTTAATTAACCGTTAAAACTCGTTAGTCTTTCCATAAATTATCGATCGGAACAAACAAAAAACCTCACATCCGTATAAAACCTGATATTGTGAGTGCTTTATTACAGATCATATTACAACATTATGCCAGCTAAAGTTGATATAAACACTTATATTATATTGTGATTTCAATCGTAATCTAATATCATAATTACAAGTTCGATTCATTCATAGCTATTCTATTCGTTCTTTCTTTGTATTTTCGTCCATGAACTGGTAACCATTTCTCCTCTAGTTTCTTGTGTGCTGTAAAACTCTGGCTGTTTATGAACAGTTTCCCGCTCTTTTCTGCAGTGACTGTGATCAGATTGTTAGCCAACAATTCAACATTTTGAGCAATCTGCGGATAAATTAATCTGACTTGAAGTAATGACTGTCCAGACTATCATTGGCCAGGTGACCTCTCCACAAACACCCTTCTCATCTTCCACACACCTCCTTTAATCCACTCCCTGAACTTGGCCATCCTCGCCACATACAAACAAGGGTTAATGGCAGAGTTGAGCGCTGTCATGGCAACGTACCCCTACCAGCAGCGCGTACCACGTCATTCCCGGTCCATCCAAGATACCATGACTCAGTTTAAACCAGTGAATACAGTTCTCTAGCACGTAGAATGAGAATATAGGTATGTTACACAGCAGGAAGACAGCAGTGAAGAGGGAGATTGTCTCGGAGACACGAAGGAATGTTTTGTTGTTCTGGTGGAATCTGACATCGTTACCTCCCCCTCTCAGTTCCACGCTTTGTAGACTGTTTTCTCCAATCTGTGGGCTGTTTTCTCCAATCTGAGAGCTGTTTTCTCCAATTCTGAGGGTTATTTTCTCCAATCTGAGGTCTCAGTTGCACGTTGTGAGGTCTCGGTTGTCGTTTCTGCAGCAGGCAGATAACACTAAGAAGGAAGCTAAGAAACACTATGATAGAGATAAGTCCCATGTCTAGGAGAACTATCGTTATCTGCACATCCCACATCTGTAAAGTTACTATAGGTTACTAAAGTTACTAATACAGTAACTATATAGGTTACTAATATCAGGGGGATATCGACTATCAGGAACATAGAAGTAAATAGTTGGTTAGTACAGTTAGTTAGGCAAAGTTATTTTAATGAAAAACAACGATAGCGTCTCGATTCAGGGCCAGCTCAAATTTGATTACACCTTATGCGTACAGATCATTATGTACTAAACTTACCTGACTATTAACGTATATATCTGTGCCCGTCTTCCCAGGAGTCCATATACAGAATGTCCCTCGGTCACTCCAATACATGACAATAGACCCAGTAGCTACTGACACAACATCAATAACCAGTAAGACTCCCGCGTACACCCCACACGATACCCTCACTGCCCCCTTGTTGACATGATAGAATGGGGATATGATCGCTATGGTCCTCGTAACGCTGATTATCATGACGAGGTACCGGGAAATGGATTGTAGGAATTTAAAGGTTAGAGTCCACATTCCGCAGATGGTTTTGTTGGATAGTAGGGTGGGGAGTCGGGAGTGGAAGAGGGAGGTTATAGTGGGGATAGTGAGGAGACACATTATGACGTCACCTGAGGGGGAGTGAGGAGGTGTTTTAGGTGTGCTGAGTTTCAGGGTGTGGGTATGGGTTTGCGATTAAGCATTAGTTAGATTGGTCGGGCGGAATCTGATGAGTTTCGGAAACTCTTATGAGTAATATTGTAAGATATTGAAAGATACTGAATAAGTAATTGCAAGATAAGTTGTTTTCTGTAAGATACTTTATAAGATATTGTAAGATAGCAGTATGAGATTGCTAACATGAGCTGATAAGAGAGTAGAGTAGGTCCGGGAGAGACTCCCTCCTCCTTCCCCAGAAATACACCACAGCAGTAAGATTACCCACCACACCCACTACCACACACACTACCAGCACAGCTCCTATAGTGTAGTCCAGTGGGCTGTATTCGGTGGGGAAGATATCTGACATTGTGATCTGCTAAAGGGAACATACACGTGCAGATTAACATACACGTGCAGATTAACATACACGTGCAGATTAACATACAATTGTAGAGTAACGTGATATATTACTAATGTAATTGAGACCCATGATATAGTCAATTACAACTCGGACTCAGTGGTTATTGCAAGGAAAGGCATCATAGAAAAGAAGTTTTACAAAGGATGGAATTTTGACTTGTATAATACTATTTACATGATTGAGTAGGCAAATAGAATAATCTTAAAGTGGTGTTTTAAGTTAATAAAGAAACACCTGTATCTTAGTGAGAATAAGATTAATTGTACAATTTTGTATTTAAATTCATTAAATATACGGAACATAAGGAAAGTGAGAAAGTCACGCACTACTGCATAACATGTTGTGTGACACGACATTACATGAGAACCAAGGATAATCAAATTTCTTTGTATCTAGCAAGATTGAATGATTAGGTGCTATACATGACATCTGGTCTATTCAGATGCTCTAAAATTCAAGTTATTTAAGACATGAGGAAAGGAACACAGTTAAAATATCCACGAGTTACGAAGCGTAACGTAGTGCAGTAAGTTCACACAAAGCCCCAAAAGTTAACAAAACTATGTTATTTATTGGTATAGTAGTTCAATAGCCGAGTGCACTAATAGATATGTGTTCCATCTAGAAGTTTACACACGAAACTTATTTATCGGGACAAATACTTAAATGAAGATAAAACTACAGTGAGCCAGCTTCTAGATAGCAAGATGTTAAGAAATACCCTGCTTATAATACATAAGAGGCAGTACAGGTTGCAAGAACCAATAATATCGACCCTTTCCAGCATATTCCTGTGAATATTTACTATCTACCAAATAGTGTGGCAGATGTTGAATAGTGAGCCATCCTTCACTCATATTACCGGTTTATCTACCATTTCGTGAGCACTGAGCCAGGAAGCCATGTGCGGTGAACCGTAAAATATTATTATAGTCGATTATATGTGTTATAGTCGGCAGGAAAGATATGCTGTAATTAATATTTTAGAAGTATTACGGCAGGAATCATGCTGAAAGAATCCTGTCAAATCCAGTTTCGCTGCTTAATTTCATCACCAGAGCAAAAGTTTCTCAGTTATTCCTGATAACTTGCCCCTGAGCGTTACTATAGGAAAGAGATACAGTAGTTTCAGTAAGAGTATGAAAGAAGAGAGAGAAGGGGAAAAGGAAAAGATATGAGTATGACGGAAGGGGTGTATGTCAACTGAAAGTAACAAGAGTGTATTGAGATTTACATGTTTATGAAATGATTCTCATTTATGATTCTCTCATACACCCACTTCTTAACTCCACGGTGTATTTAACACGTGACTCCATTATTAAAGTTACTGTTATCAACCGACCCACCACACTGTACGCATCATCATCATCTGACCTGTAAAAGTGACAGTTGCTCTTATAACTCCACTGCGCATCACCTCTAAGCAGGATAAACTGATCTCAATAAAATGTGACCGTTGGAAAAACATCACTCGTGTGGAGCCGTCTAGCTAAACAAGTATATAATATATATTACAAAGTGCGAATACTTGCAATCTGCGTGTCTGTGCGGTTTTTGTTTTGATTTTGTCTTGTTTCTTTTGGATGTAAATTTCTATTCTGTGTAGAGTGGCGTTATCTTTTAGTTCTTATCTGTTATCTACGTGCTACACTCATGCTACACTATTTTTCTTATCTACACTTACAATCACACACCATTTCTCTGGATGGTCTCCTGTTTGGGACTGCGTCCTAATGTTGCCTATTTTGCCTCTGAATAAATTTTATTAGTCTCTTTTTAGAACCAGAAGTGTGCTTGGTAGAAATGTTCACTAATTGCAGCCCATTTTTAACCCTACCCTCTAAAATGAACTAAAGCAGATGGATTATAACTTAATAAGTGCAAAAACTAAATAAACACCTAATTGAATCATGAACAACTAATCGGCTAAATAACAAAAAAATGGCTAATATAATAAACAAACGATATAATAAATAACGATATATAATTAAAAACTCATTACACAATCAACACCTAATCGTACATACTAACCCGCCGTCCCGCCACTAGCGAAGGACACGAGCACTGGACAGTAGCGACCAGTTCCCACCACCAGACCCAACTGTTCACAGCCCGGTTTGAGACCAGCACGGAACCTGAGGAGGAGACTCTGTACAGGAACCTTGTTAAGGTCGTTCTTCCCAAGATAGACATCGTGGTAGCGGAACAGGTAGGCTCTCAGATCCTGTGTGTGTGTGTGTGTGTGTGTGTGTGTGTGTGTGTGTGTGTGTGTGTGTGTGTGTGTGTGTGTGTGTGTGTGTGTGTGTGTGTGTGTGTGTGTGTGTGTGTGTGTGTGTGTGTGGTGTTTGTCTGTTTGTGTGTGTGTGTGTGTGTGTGTGTGTTGTAACGTCTTTTTATAAATCTTTGAAAATCATAGAGGTCCGCTGAAACATGGTATCAAAAGCTAACATATAGTCAAATGAACCAGCCACATATATATGACTCAACAACATGCCTCTATCCTATCTTGTACCTGCTTCTAACCAAATGATCACGTGGCACGTCTTTCTCAGGAACGTAAGGAGATGCTGGCAGGAGAACGGAAAGGGCTGACTAGAAGTGGGAGGAAGGTAGTTGCTCGGTATAAGAACGGTTTCGTCGCCTCCGCTGATCAGGAGGTAGGTTACAATAACTGGAAAGGGTTTGTTGAGCGGGAGGAGGTAGGTTACAATAACTGGAAGGGGTTTGTTGAGCGGGAGGAGGTAGGTTACAATAACTGGAAGGGGTTTGTTGAGCGGGAGGAGGTAGGTTACAATAACTGGAAAGGGTTTGTTGAGCGGGAGGAGGTAGATTACAATAACTGGAAGAAGGGGTTTGTTGAGCGGGAGGAGGTAGGTTACAATAACTGGGAGGGGTTTGTTGAGCGGGAGGAGGTAGGTTACAATAACTGGAAGGGGTTTGTTGAGCGGGAGGAGGTAGGTTACAATAACTGGGAGGGGTTTTTTGAGCGGGAGGAGGTAGGTTACAATAACTGGAAGGGGTTTGTTGAGCGGGAGGAGGTAGGTTACAATAACTGGAAGGGGTTTGTTGAGCGGGAGGAGGTAGGTTACAATAACTGGAAGGGGTTTGTTGAGCGGGAGGAGGTAGGTTACAATAACTGGAAGGGGTTTGTTGAGCGGGAGGAGGTAGGTTACAATAACTGGAATGGGTTTGTTGAGCGGGAGGAGGTAGGTTACAATAACTGGAAGGGGTTTGTTGAGCGGGAGGAGGTAGGTTACAATAACTGGAAGGGGTTTGTTGAGCGGGAGGAGGTAGGTTACTATAACTGGAAGGGGTTTGTTGAGCGGGAGGAGGTAGGTTACAATAACTGGAAGGGGTTTGTTGAGCGGGAGGAGGTAGGTTACAATAACTGGAAGGGGTTTGTTGAGCGGGAGGAGGTAGGTTACAATAACTGGAAGGGGTTTGTTGAGCGGGAGGAGGTAGGTTACAATAACTGGAAGGGGTTTGTTGAGCGGGAGGAGGTAGGTTACTATAACTGGAAGGGGTTTGTTGAGCGGGAGGAGGTAGGTTACAATAACTGGAAGGGGTTTGTTGAGCGGGAGGAGGTAGGTTACAATAACTGGAAGGGGTTTGTTGAGCGGGAGGAGGTAGGTTACAATAACTGGAAGGGGTTTGTTGAGCGGGAGGAGGTAGGTTACTATAACTGGAAGGGGTTTGTTGAGCGGGAGGAGGTAGGTTACAATAACTGGAAGGGGTTTGTTGAGCGGGAGGAGGTAGGTTACAATAACTGGAATGGGTTTGTTGAGCGGGAGGAGGTAGATTACAATAAATGGAAGGGGTTTGTTGAGCGGGAGGAGGTAGGTTACAATAACTGGAAGGGGTTTGTTGAGCGGGAGGAGGTAGGTTACAATAACTGGAAGGGGTTTGTTGAGCGGGAGGTGGTAGGTTACAATAACTGGAAGGGGTTTGTTGAGCGGGAGGAGGTAGATTACAATAACTGGAAGGGGTTTGTTGAGCGGGAGGAGGTAGGTTACAATAACTGGAAGGGGTTTGTTGAGCGGGAGGAGGTAGGTTACAATAACTGGAAGGGGTTTGTTGAGCGGGAGGAGGTAGGTTACAATAACTGAAAGGGGTTTGTTGAGCGGGAGGAGGTAGGTTACAATAACTGGAAGGGGTTTGTTGAGCGGGAGGAGGTAGGTTACAATAACTGGAAGGGGTTTGTTGAGCGGGAGGAGGTAGGTTACAATAACTGGAAGGGGTTTGTTGAGCGGGAGGGGGGGGGGTTGTTGAGCGGGAGCATTTGGTTTTGAAAGATGATGTATAAAAAACTGTATGTAGGGGGGGGGTCCACGTTAAAAAAGTTAAATTCTAAGATCGAGATTTTGGAATTTAACATTAATTACTTTAACTTTTTTAACTTTTTTAACATAAATTAAAAATCAGATTTTGGCTGACTAATAGGTTCAAATTTTAACATAATTACCCAAATTAAACTCAATTATGAGTGTGGACCTTTAGTACTAGTAGTACCTCGCTCTTGCAATTGTTTTCTGTAGTTGTAACTGATTTGATAACTCTACAAAAAAACACCTTGTATCTATATATACACATAATTGTATAATTTACTAATATAATCATTCATATAATAGGAAAGAGCATGTCGGCCAACCACAAGTACACAGTAGTGGTCAATGGGTTGGAATTGCGGGACAGATTACAGGTGGTAGCGAATGCTATTGATGCCAAGTATAACGGGACGTCAGAAACTAGGAAATTAGAAATTAGAAATTAGAAATTAGAAATTAGAAATTAGAAATTAGAAATTAGAAATTAGAAAGATCATTACAAAATTACATGTGTCAGATCCCGATCAGTTAAATGAAAGTTATTCAACCAAACAAAAAGAACAATATATCGTAGATAAATAAATAAATGGTTTCAAAGTGAGCACGGAATATGGATACTAGGTCATAGATTACTTTTAGGAAATCTTTCACGAAATAGATTATAAACAAAATTTCTTGTCTCAAAAATGTAATCCTCATTAAATAATTTACTGAATTGACTATTTGTGAGCATGTTGTGAAGGTCTGTGCTGTTTCTTTGTCTGATCTCCTTGTAGGCAGGACATTCTTTAAGAAAATGGACTTCGTCTTCTTTAATGATTTCACTAAAAGGGAGCTCGTTCAGGAGGTCTATGGTGATTCTGTCTGAGCTGCAGCAGAAGTTGCAAGCTCTGTAGAAGATGCTTGAATTTTTCCAGCCATATCGCCCCGTCTCGATATTAAGTTTGTGGGAGCTTGTCCTCAGCCACGTGGTACATCGGGTTTTCTTGTGATTGGGTAGAGATAGGTACGGTTCTAATCCAAAGCTGCTTTTGACTTCGTTGTAGAATGCAAGCTTTTTGTTTACAAGTCGAGCTTTTTCCCACTTTTGTTGGAACCAATCTCTCAGTCTACTCCGAACGAGTTGGCTGTTCGGCATGGGAACATTCTTCGAGACAATTGTTCGTTTAATTGCTCCTGGGTAAAATGCTTCGGTCAGCGCTCTCGATGTTCGGAACCAGGTCAGCTCTAGGTTTCTTTGCTCTACGAAAGCATGGCGAACAATCTGTGGTGAGTTTTTTCTGTCAAGGAGGACGAGCCTGTTGTGGAAGTCAAGAAAGAGCTTACTCAGTTGTATTCCAAGGGGATATCTTCCTGTGTCTCCCCATATCGGGATATTTGAAGTTCTCTTGTTGACCCCAGTCGTCCATTTTAGCAGCGAGAGATGCAGGCGCTCGATGCTGTCATTCGCTAATTGACTGAGTGTGTCTTTGTCGGACTGTGTTTTTTCAGTTATTTAGAATATATATTCGCATGTATCCACACTATATTTACATTACACGTTCAACGTGATATCATTATCAGTGCAGTGTGTACAACACCAACTACACCTGGCCATCTCGAAGGGACTGTGTTTTCTTCTGACAGATGTTACTGAGAATGTTGGTATAGGGGAGCCACACCTGACTACCGTATGAGACGACAGGAAGTATAAGGGCATCGAAGAGTTTGAACACAGCCTCTTTAGAAATTGAGGAGAGATCAACCGTCTTTTTCAGGGAGAAGTATGCTCGAAGTGCTTTGATCCTGAGCTGCTCTTGGTTAAGCTTCATACTGCCACATATTGTAAAATGAGTACCTAGGTAGCAGTAGCTTTTGACCGAAGGGATTACAATACTTCTGCCGTAGGTAAATGTTTTACTCTCGAGTAACTGCCTTCCTGAGGGATTGAAGATGATGACCGCAGTTTTCTTGATGTTAACAATCAATCCCCAGTTAGTGCAAAATGAGTGGAGTTGGTCAATCATTAGCTGAAGACTGTCCTTGTTAAGGGCTAGCAGGACCAGATCGGGGGGTGGCCCTGTTCCGTTCCTGCATTAACATCAAAACAAGCTGAGAGCTTTTTAATCATTTTTAGTCTTGCTTTTGAGTTTCTGTACATGTATTGGAGACAATAAAAACCGCCCCTGCATACCAAGCTTATTTAGTTTGTACAGTAGTGCTTCTCTTGAAACTGTGTCGAACGCTATCTGAAAGTCTACAAAACAGCTGTAGATTCTTTTCCGTTGGACTTTTACATATTTTTCAATGCAGGTGTTAAGTGTGAAAATATGATCAGAGGTTTGAGCCCCCTTGCAAAATCCTCTCTGATTCAGTGATTCGGGGAAATGTACAGCTCTGAATTCCAGAAGTCGACTGAGCAAAATATTTGAAAATAACTTGCCCAAGTTATCCGGGTCATGCGGACAACCTTTTTTGTGGAGAGGGGTAACGATAGTGGTGTTCCAAGGGTATACACCAAACTTAAGGCATTCGTTAAAGAGTTTTTGGATGAGTTTCACAACTTCGTCCGTCGATGTTTTGAGGAACTCATTAAGAATTAAGTCGATACCCGCTGCTTTTCCATTTTGTAGGTATTTGATGCCCTTCTTCATTTCATCCTGGTCGATATCTCTGTTAAGGATTTCAGTGTCGATGATGATTTCACTTTCATCATTTAGTTTCACCAATTCTTTAGGTACTGTTTTGGTCTTGTAGAGATCTTTAAAGAATTTATAAAAGTTCTCTATATCGAAGAGGTCAAGTACCGACTCTTCTTTATTGGCATCTTTAAGTTTATTGAAGTCCTTCCATGAGATATGCCCATCTTGCAAGATGTCTTCATTTATTTTTTATGCTTGATGAGACGCTTGTATTCCTTTTGTATTCCAATGCGTATGACATCGTTTCTAGGCTGTCTTTCATATTTTCTGGCAAGCTTGTTGACTTCTCGTTTTAGTAAAATGCAGTTTGCATCGAACCAGCGATTTTCGGCCTGAATTCTTGGCTTGCTTTTCTTGGTAATATGATTTTTTCGGGGACCCTCTTCATCTTTGTTGATGTCCACAAGGAGTCTGGTTAATTTAAGGTTAAGACTGTGGACGTCTTCTTCAGAATGACATACTTCGTCAACAAGGTCAGAGATAGTTTTAGGAGTGGGCAGAGTATTTGGGGGATGAACATTACAGTCAGACTTAAGTTGGGTCCCAAGGAAATGGCTCGCAGCCCGACCAATACTCATTAGAAGGGTGGCTGTCACGATATGGTCTGGAATGTTACACGGAACAGTTGGAAGAGGTGGGATTTGGATCACCCAGTAATTTCCAGTGTGTTCAGGAAAGTGACCTGGACAAGTTGGAAATATTTGACAAATGTCATCGGCTGACTATCCTGCATGCAGCCAAACGGATCCTTATTTGAGGAGTAGCTAATATCGTGAAGGGAGAATGTTAGAATCCACGAAAATAACATCCCCTGGCCCTCCTCGTCAGGAAACACAAATTGTATTGATACTTTTATAATGGACAATGGTACATAAATGAATTTATATATTTCTGAATAAGTTTCAATGTTCCATTTATTTAATATTATACAGCTAAATTAATATTATCCAGCTAATTTATTAAATTACTTTTGCAGATATTTTCATTTTATTCTCTCGATAATTGAAAGGTTTTATTTTACCCAGCCTTGATATTGCTTGGTAGTTTTGAATTTCAATTGTTTTTAACATTTAATCAGTTTAATGATCAAATGTATCAATTATTTATCGGTTGTACCTATGTTATATGACTGTTTTACTCTTGTCATGGGCATTCCTATATTCCTACATGTAATGACTAATGAACAAAAATACCAACGCATGACCTAAAAGTAAACTAGTCTAGAATATTCACTCCATTGCAATTTCAACCCAAATTTGAATTTATGTTAAAAAAGTTAAACTTTCTAAGCCTGAATTTTGAAATTTAACATTAATTAGTTTAACTTTTTTAACTTTTTTTAACGTGGACCCCCCCCTATGTAATTTTATTTTGTTTCGATTATCAATTATAAAATAATTAGCTAACAAGCAATTAACTCAATTAACTAACAATTAGCTAACAAGCAATTAACTCAATTAACACACCTCCGCCTCAGTCGTCAGACAACAAATCAGACCCGTCCCAAAAGGAGAAGGAGGACCTCTCAAAGCGGCAGAGCAAAAGAAGGAGAACCCAGCCTCCAAGCAATACTCCTGTCAGAAGGAGCAGCAGACACAACAGTGACATCCTGTCTCCAGGAAAAAAGGAGAAGTCTAAAGAGAGAGCTACTCCGGTAATTTGCGTTTAAGTATTTTAGATGTGATTTTGTTGGTTAAAACGATTAAACGGTTGTGCAGTTCTGTGTACACTGTACATATATAATACATATAGTACATATAGTCCATATAATACATATAATACATAGATATGTGTAAATGCAAAAGCAAATGTGTGTAATATGTGTAAATATGCGTTGTTGTGTATTATCCAGATTCCAGATGTGAGATTTGAATTAATTCTGCTGAGTTTGTGCTTGCGAAATCTGCAATAATTGTACTGTGCAAAGCATGATGTAATTGTTGAATTTTCCAGTGCCACTGTTAAAAAACGATATAATGTCGTATTACACATTATGAAAACTTGTCAACCAAATTTTGTCATCAAATACGCCTTTTAAAAAATATAATCATGGTATCATGTTCATAAATATTTGTGCAACCTCTCTATTTTGATTGTTTCAAGGTTACTGATTATCCAATATCTTGTTTAATAAAAGTTTTACATCAACAAAAGCATGTGAGAGCTCAAGTCCAATCGAATAATCAACCACTAATTACATGATTAACCACTAATTAAATAATTAACCACTAAAAGGCGAGAGCAACTAGTCGGACAACGAGACGTTCCAGTAAACTAGAAGAGTTCACCGAGCCACCCTCGACTGACACTGATGATGAGGTGGATGAGAACGAGGACGGTAAGTGTTTTAATTAGATTTAATCAATTTACTATATTTAGATACTTAGCTTTAATCAATTTACTATTCAAATTAGAAACTTAGCTTCAATTAATTTACTATAATTAGATACTTAGCTTGTTACAGAGTGTGGTTTATAATTATTAATAATGTTGATCATAGTCACTTATTGTCCTAAATATCCAACCATGGAGTTACAACGTCTGAACTAAAGAGTGAACTTCAGGTGTGCCGTGCATAACCCTGCCATTTACAAAATTTAATTTGAGGGGATTATTTTTCACAATCTACCACATTTTGTTTCGCAGAAGAGAATGATAAGGAAGAAGAGGACGGTGCTGAGGAAGAGGAGGAACCAGAAAAGAAATCACCAACCAAGGTAATTAATTAGTAATTAATTAGCTGATACTTAGTACTTAATTAGCCGATAGTGTATAATAATAAAGGAGTGTAATCTCCATTTGCTGTAAAAAAACATCTTCTCGATTTATTTTTGAGATTTCCAAAATGAGATTGCAAAAATGGCAAAGCAAACAAGTCAACAACTCACACAAAGTCTCCGCAGGAAAGACCAAAACAGGTCCGGAAACCTGGTACTACCCCAGTTCGCAGAAGAGGACCAGGAAGACCTGGAGTTATAAGGCCCACTATCAGAGACCAGATAGCAGAGGCACTGCTGCTTAGGGATAAGGACAGGAAAGGGAAAACTAAACACCTTCCCACTGGTTAGTAAATAGTTATAGTGGTCACGTGATGTTCAGTGGTCACGTGTGATGTTGCTTTTAGTTTTAGCTTTTGTTGGCTCAGTCTAAAACGAATTTGTGTTCTATAAATTGTATTATTTCTGTTACTGTTGGATCCTAAAAACGAATGGTTATATTGTTTCGTTTTCATTTCAATGCTTGTTGTAAGCAATCATTAAGACACGGCAGTTATTGTTATGAAAATGAAACCTTTACATTGTTGGTGGTCGATGGGATTGGGACCCATTCATATCACCTTATCATAAATATGCTGCCTTGTAAGTGTATTCCTACAACATACATTATCCAGTTACATTATCCGAGAAATTCCTCATTAGCTTATAATTTAGAAATTAAATTCACCACAGGTGAAGGAGATCCAGATATTGTAGATCGCTTATCGGACGTCATGGCAACTCTGACTAGACATCCAGAAGCGTGGCAATTTAATGAGCCAGTCAACGAGGACTTTGCTCCTTACTACTACACGTTAATTGAGGTAATTAGGAGTAATTAATTCAATTAGCTGTTAGTTGATGTGATTATACTTGATTGATGTATTAACGGATAACAGAGGGTATGGTTACTATACGGAGTTTAAAACGAATGGAAAAAATGCAATCAGTCAATGCGCATTGCGCATGCACCAATTCAAATATTTAATTGTATACCAATATTTCAGTGTGTGCAGTTAATAGGTATGACCATCTTTTCAGAATCCCAAAGATTTCAACATGATAGAACGATCAGCGATTGACCGACAGTATAAGAGTGTTTCAGAGTTTGTGGACAATATCAACCTGGTCTTCACTAACTGTTACGACTACAACGGTCCAATTAACGGTAAGAATAACACGGTTTTGATAATGATGATAGGAGATAATTATATCGTTGTGATTGGTTGATTCGCCATTATCATTCCGTTTTTATCGATTTTCTATTTTTTTTATAGATTTTAGTAGTAGATAATTTAATGTAGTCCGAGGAGTCCTCACTCTCCTTGCGTCTTAGGATGGCTTTTTTTCGTCGCATAATATTTAATGAAAAAATTACCAATTTCAATTTCAGAGTACACGCGAGCAGCAAGGGTGCTGGAGAAGTACTTCCGGAGGCTGATGAGAGAGCTGTGTCGTGAGGACTACACGTTTGATGGACACTCTGTCATTTACCCTGGTACGTTTAAGTTTAACGCCTCTATAGATATTGGTTATTTTCCAGACATGTGACAGTGGTTATAGAATTTGATTGGTCGATGGTGCAAGTTGAATAGTTTGGCAAACGTAAGATCGTAACATCTCCCGCGCCGCTATTAATCACACTTTTCGAGAGATACATTTTTATTAGAAAAAGGATATTTTTGATCTAAGTTCACAAAATTGCGAATAAGGTGTGGCCACCATAATTTTGATCTGACACGCTATGTTCAGGTAAGAGATTGTTTGTAAACAGACACAAAAGGATTAAAGCTCTGAAGTTGGCTGGCGTTATTGTGCTACCCCAAAAAAGTAAACCTTCATCCCAAGACGATAGTAGCAGGGATTCAAATACCGGGTAAGCTATTTATTGTCGTAATAATTAATTTACTTTCAAATCTTGAATAATTGACTAATTTGAATTCATGAGACAAAATTTTTAATTAAAAATCACTTGATGATTTTAATTAAAAATCACTGATGATGTTCGATAAGTTGCACCTTTTTAATGTAAATTTGCGATAAATAATTTCCGGTTTACTCGTACATATATATTGAACCCTTATCTCCCAGTGCCTTCCGTCCCCCGGAGGAGATGAAAACAGTAACGACGGATCAGAAAAGTCCACTGTGACTTCTACTACAAAACCTAAACGGAGATCGGCTAGTAGAAGGAAGAAGACCACCGATCAAGATCAGGTTGGTTCTAGTTTAATAATCTGCTAATTAGTAGATTACTTGCATCCATTTAAGTTAATTCGAAAAATGGGACCGATTGTTTTCATGAGATTCTCGTGAACGAAAACAACTTGTTGCGTGAAAATCTTGTTTTATTATAATATCATGAACAATAATTGCTTTCATCATAAATATGGCCCACTTTTCTTCTTATTCAAAGAAGGATGGGACTGAAAAGATTGTAATTAAGATAACACCAATTAAATAATCAATCGAATGAAAACCAACTCTGTAAAAATCATACAATATTTAATACGAACACTTGATTTTTCTCATATTACAGTGAATGTATGTACTATGAGTAATCGTGTTTTTTATTTAAAGGTCCCCAAACTGTGAATGGGGGGGGGGGGGTTTCCAATGATGAAAATGGTTAAATTTTATAATTTGGAAACTCACCATTAAAATCATTCACCATGTTTCACCATTTTGCACTATTGTTGAACACCATTTTGCACAATTTTTCACCATTTTGCACAATTTTTCAACATTTCAATGTTTTGATTTCGAAGTATCAAATTGAAATATTAAATGTGTATTCTGGTGCTATACGACGATACCAAGAGCGAGCTCAGTTTTGATGTACCGTACCTACTCGCCATGATCACCAAAAGTTACCATTTTTAATGTACCTTACTAGCCATGATCACCAAAAGTTACCATTTTTAATGTACCATACTAGCCATGTTCACTAAAAGTTACTAGTTTTGATGTACCTTACTAGCCATGTTCACTAAAAGTTACTAGTTTTGATGTACCTTACTCGCTATTAGACCGGTTCATTTTACCAAAAGTTGTTCAAATAATTAGAGACCCTATCTTATTAGTTGCTCTATAGGGTCAGGAACAACCAACAAAATTTTTTGACTCTAGTGTTTCGGATAATGTCACCTTGGGCCACGCCCATATTTTTCACCAATTTTTAACAGGTAAAATTCTTTAAATCGTCAATTTAGTCATGAAGGAGTATGAAAGGAGTTCTAAATGTGTGCTCCTCTAATATAAACAGTAGAAAATGGTTAACTTTAGTCGAGGTCTCAGGTCTCTACAATGTCGGGAAGTTCCTGCAGGAGGTTGCGCATTGCGCTGAAGCGTGAGATTCACTGCGCCAAAAGCGAAGGTCGTAGAGACATGAGACCTTGACTAAAGTTAACCATTTTATACCATTGCTATAAGAGTGTGACACTTTCAGAGTCCTGAACACATTCCTACAGCTCTTAATCGTCAATTATATGAATTTTACCTGTTAAAATATATCATCTTTAAGTTTTAACTATAATAATAATTAATTAATAATGCGTCACACCAAACTTACACACAGTATAAATACATACAAAAAGATTCCAAATTGAACTTTGATTATATCCTGGGACTGATTATCATTTCTCGATTGTTCTCCATTCTCCAATGCAGTGCAGTCAGTAAGTTCAGATTTAGGTAGACTTGGTCTTCGAATCTTCGTATGTTCAGAAGCAGGCCATGGCCAGAAGTAAGAAGGGGTTTGGTTACCAGAGGAATATCTTCGTGGAACAAGGAAATTAATGAGGTCTTCGTTGATTTCTTCATAACTCGTCACTGACAGGATGAGTATTGACGAGATCCACTGATTACTTCATAGCTCGTCATTGATAGGATCAGTATTAATGAGGTCGAATGATTACTTCATAGCTCGTCACTAACTGGATCAGCATAACATGACTAACGACTAACGAGTAACTTTTAGTGAACAAGTCGCCATGTTCACTAAAAGTTACTAGTTTTGATTTACCTTACTCGCTATGTCCACCAAATGTTACTAGTTCCAATGCATCTTTCTCACCATGTTTACTAGTTTTGATGAAAAATGGTGATTGATTGTTTTGGTGAATCGAGTTTCCGAATTGGAAAACGTATACTAATACTTTGACTATAACGAATTACGAAACACATGTTTATATCTGAGTTAATAACCAAATATTGTTTTAGAATTATAACACCAGGTCAAAACTAAAACTAGAAGGCAAATATATCTTCTGACAGTTAAACAATTTACCTAAACTTTCACGATGATCAGACACACAAATTTTGATAACAATAACGAAACAATACTTTACTATCAAGACGAATTATGAATAACCTCGAGCAGTTTTACAATACTATTACTAAACAGTAAACACCTCAGTACAATTTCATATAAATTGATAAAAAGTATAATTAATAAACTATGTTCAATAAAGTGTGTTTATAATTATGATTTATGGTACATTGTTATTTATCATATTTATATTTTAGGCTGTAACCTTATTAGTTCAATGGAATAAACCTAGCATGCCTTGGTTGCAGCATCGCTTCACTTATAGGTGCATATAGGGCCCGATATAATTGCTATGATCAGTTTACTGGTCAACTGGTGTTTCGGTGTCCCTAATTTTGTTTACACTCGGTCACTTGTCAAGGCATGTAAGGTCATTCGGCGATATTTTCTTTGAAATAAAATGATGTATTTGTGTAACAATTTGAAAGTTTATTGATGAAAAATACTCATCGAAAAAAATGTTGGAAAATGGTGAAATTTTACAATTTTGGTACTCAATTCACCATAAAAATCATTCGCCATTTTTCACCATTGGAAACTCCCCCCTGTCAGCCCACATCCAGAAACACGCCATCTTGCCAGGCAGCCTGGGAGGAAATTTTTTTGGGAGAAAAAACGGGAGGAAAAAGAGGAAATTTTTGATAAGTTACTCCTAAATTTCGAAATATTTTTTTTGGAATAAAGACAAATCAATTGAGGAAATTTTTGAAGAAAACTTTTCGATTGTATAAAAATCATAGAGGAACATCATGTCAGTTTTGGAACACAGTGAAATATTCTGATTGGAGAATGCAGATTGCTGTTGTGAGGTTACCAAATTTACGTGAGTAATTGATTCTTTTCAATCCCAGTTTATTGCTGTCCTACAAATTTCTTTAATGCCAAATGTCGTCTAAAACACCCTATTTCGCTGCGCCCCCCTAGCCCCCGCCAAGGGGCTCCGGACGCATCTGGGAGGAAATATATATATATATATATCTGGATGTGGGCCTGTGAATCTTTTTAGAAACAAAGTTTTCAACGTAACGTTCCGCTGATCATGCCAGTATTATAGTCCTATTTAGCAACCATAAAATCAGTAACATTGTAAGCTATATAATTCTCTACAAACTTCCAGTCTGTAATGTCAGGTAACCATTTCTTCTGCCACTTCCACACACCTACCACAGTTACTTTGTTACCAGCAGCTGTGTGTCCTGACATAGTATAATACATCGTCATGTCATGTGCGGAGATGATATCATGGAAATGTACTCCAGTGTCTGTATAATCCTCACTGTTTGTACACAGTTCTAATGGAATTTTACCGTCTGACATAGCTTCTCTCAAGATAAAACCACATTTACCTGTCTCTGTGCAGGTTCCTGTACCAGGGTGTTTAAAGGTATACAGGTGTTTGTACTCATCATCTGTTACTGTAATGTACTTATCACGTTTTATGATAACGCTCTGATGACTTGTGGTGAGCTTATCATTACTCTTCATCTTATTGAGCAGAATTATTAGCTGATCAGACTGCTCAAGAGTAGAATAATCCAGAGCATCAGTGATGATATCAAGATATTCCTTCGATATCTTTTGAACCATATTATTGCAGGGATTGGTGAAAGTGTTCTCAAGTGCGGTAATAAATGTTTGTCTCTCCTCCTCGTTTGGTGTTTTAACGTGGTAAACCATGAGCAGTAGGTCAACTACCTCAAACATTGATTTAACACGGTCCTCATTTACAGATTCAATGATATCATTCATTGTTTTACAGGTATTCACTAAATCACCATATATCTTCCAACCACACACCGTCGTCCCTAGTTTTAATTTTCTTCTCCGAGAACTCATTTCTCTTATAGTCCCGGATGTCAAGTTGTAAATAAACTTCAAATTAGCATTTGAAATTTCTGATAAGTTTGATATTGTGTCAAAAACTTCAAGATACAGTTCCTCATTCTGTTCACAACACAGTGCCAAATTCATTTTTCGGAGGAGATGTTGAAGTTTTTCGCTTAGATCTTTCTTACGGACTAGATTGTACAGCATAACCCTTAGGAAAACATCATAATACCCTCCACCCAATTTTAGCATCATATCAATCTGCTTTAGCTCTAGTTTCCTCAAATCTGACATATATTTGGAGATAAATGATGAATTGTTTTTAGGTGAGAGACATGAAATCAGGGCGTCCATTGCATCTCTGTCTTCCCATTTTTGCAGCATATATACCAACACTCATCAAATAAGAATGAGTTGACATGATCTTCTGTTGCCAAGCTCATTTTGCTTCGTAACCATCTGTGGCAATCGTTTTTCAGCCACCTAATTTCGAAGACAACCGCCATCTTGTGAAGCTCTCTGAACATATCATCTCCAATCTCGCCAAGATTTTTGTCTTCCAGAATGGTCAAGAACAATGTTACCGCTGCAGTCGAAAAGTCGCTCATGTCAATCTCCTCAAAATTGCACTCATTAATAAGTTTTCTGAATATACGACTGTCAGATGTAAGTCTTTGTTTCGAGACAAGTAGAGGATCCCCATCTTTAATCTTGATAACAACTGTTGTTTCCTCCATCACAGTCTTACGTCTGGATAAGTTTTAAGATGTGAAATCAATTATTACATTATCAAACCCCTATTTACTGAACTTCAAGAGGAAAGTAGAAATACTCTGTAGTATTAGTTAGGGAAAGTAATTGGCATGGTTTATCGAGAGTTGACTGGGATGGTTATTACTGTTTAATATAAAATACATGTAAAATACAAGTAGAACAATTACTTATCGACTATCGTTTGGAAGAACATGTTTGCTTATTTAAAAGCAAGGCTAAGCAAACAAGAAGTTTATTCTTACTCTTAAATTTCATAAAATTTGTTCAAAAAGCCTGCAAACATTGTTTCACAGTTGACTGGCGTCTGGCAGCCAAATTTGATATCAGAAGATGCTGCTTTGACTTTTTCTTTTGTTCACACAAAAACGCTCTAGCCACTGCGATTTCGTTTTCGCCAAATTCGCTTACCTTACTCGGGAATATTATGACTGGGATAAAGTGGTGGGTTTTGGAAAATTCCGCCATATTTTTCCCGGTCATTAATTTTCCCAGTAATAAATTAACCCGCTATAATGTTCCCGAGTAAGGTAAACTAATAGTAATACATTTTGATGCTTGGTGGGTTTTGGAAAATTCCGCCATATTTTTCCCGGTCATTAATTTTCCCAGTCATAAATTAACCCGCTATAATATTCCCGAGTAAGGTAAGTGGGTTGGTTAAACATGAATTGAATGTTATATTAATCAATTCAATTACCCTTGATGCTGGGTAGCCAAATTTGTAATTAATTTGATATAAAAATTACGATTAACAAAATTATTTAAAAAAAACCTTTTCTGTGCAAAACAAGCTATTAATGAGGTCTGATCGTCATCTTCGTACAGCGTTCGATGTCTGTGTGAAACAAGCTATTATTAGGAGATACAATAAAATATCGAAGAATCGTCAAGAAAGAAAATTACTTCCATTCGTGCAGCAGACTGCACACAACAGAAGCACACAATAAAACTGTGATCTCATAGAGTGGGGAGTAAAGACTGTGCGGACTGCACACAACAGAAGCACACAATAAAACTATGATCTCATAGAGTGGGGAGTAAAGACTGTGCGGACCGTGTGTAATTCAATAGTCACATCTTCAGTGAGGCTCCGTATTAGGATGTAGAATGAACACATCAATTATATTTATTATGTCCATATTCAATAGCGTGAAGAAGATAATTTGAAAATAATAATAATAATAATAATATATTTGAGTGTATAATACACTGTAAATACTCTTTTTTTTAGTTTAATTTTCACTGGGTACTCTAATAAACACTTTTTACCTGGTCCTCTTATTTTTCTTCCCTTGCTATGCAAGCCCTGTCTCTTGTTTATACAATTTTTAACTCGTATATTGGGTAGATTGAGTATTTATTATGGATTTTATATTGTTGTTAGCCCTGCTGATTTGTGTATTAGTAATGATTACCTATCTGATGGACTACGGTATATACAGTTGATGGTAGTTTTCTCTTATTTTTCCTCTCTTGCTCTGCAAGCCCTGATTCTTGTATAAACATATTGTTTGATATAATATTGTATATTTTTGTATTGATTGTGGTATTTTGTGTGCCAGATTCAGCAATGGGTTCTTGCTGAATCACTGTATATTACACTCTGTGACTAGTCCCTTTGATCCATCTCTTGCCCTGCAAGCCCTGTTTCTTGTCTATACAGCATATAATTATCATGTATCACATTGTAGTATGTAATAAACATTTGTAGTAGTGTAGGATTGTTTGAATTTCTTTTTGCTATGTTTTATAATATTTATTTGTATAATTTGTGAGTGTTTCTCCCGCTTTTCTTCCCTTGCGCAGCAAGCCCTGTCTCTTGTAAAAACAACCTTGAAAGTTTTGTAGATACATATAGTTTCTACACCTTTATCCTCTGGTCCCTAGGGTCAGCTGATCCCGGGCCAGAGGAAAACTACCGACTGCCAAGGTCTGACGCCTAGGCAGTCGAGACCTCTTATTGAGACCCTTTATAATAATAATTATCAGACTTAATAATCTGGTAGAGTTTGTGATGTATTAATAAACCAAAGTTCCATCCGGGTTAATTAATTCAATAAGGGTAAAAACTAAAACTGGGTTATAACTATTTTTAGCCTAATAAGCATGGTTGTCATGTTATCAGTTATGTGACCCCCAATATTTTAACCGCAACCTTTAAGTCACCTGTAGCTGTGTTGAGAATCTTCATTTCAGAGTCCAGTGTCGTTTACTGCGCTGTTATCTGAGGGTGGCCCCCAACACTACCCGGCTCCTCACCATGGTTAGTTACTTAATTTATTGTTATTTAATTGATTTAATCTTAATTTAATATTAAATTGATTTAATTAAAGTTACCAATTAAGTTGTCTGCTCTGATTTCACTTACACGCTGATAAATTCTGACCCTTTTTACTTTTAGGAATCTTTATTTTCCTCATAAAATGCACGTCACAGGTATTACTTTTAATTCTGATAAAATGTTTGTCACAGGTTACCCATATCATCCTGGATACCCACCCTATTACTATGGTTACCACGATCCGTACCGAGCTGGGTACCACTACCCTCCTGTAGACAACTCTGCTCCTACTTACATCGAGGTTATTGATTAATTGATCAATTATCCGATTGATTTCAGAAAGAAATTAATAATATACAGTTTCCTGCTCAGCATGAGCACATATTTACTGTACATTTTAGTTAACTCTGAATAATTAAAATTATTCCTTTCAACCAGAAAAACAGCCCTATCTAACGTCCTAATCCGTTATTTTTAGTTATCTCCGCGACCAATGACGCGGAAGCGCGTGCCGTGCAAAAACGACGTGGAACCCCTGCTGTTCCCGCACCTTCCTAAATCGGTGTTACCAAAACCTACCCTCACTGCCAACAAGGTGAAATTGTGCTCACGTGACTTGTAATTGTCGTAGTCTAGTAGCGGTGCATGACCATAGAATTGATCAAATTGAAATTGCTTCAAATGTTATGGAAAGCATATTTATAAAGGTTCCGGTTTGTTATTTGAAGCTGATTTGCTCTGATTTAAGTTTAACCTCAACTCAAATCATCAAATTCAGTTGCAACTTGTTATTCAACTCTGTCAATGAATTTAATGAATTCATGTTACTAATAAATGACCCCACTAGATTCCTGAGGATTTGATACTACGAGATCTGGCTGCAAATCAGCCGAGCCAGATCAACAGTATAGACAGCACTACTACACCTCCTGAAAAGAAGGAGGAAGAGGAGAAGAAGGAGCCCACTAAGACAGCTACCTTGCCCGCTCTAGAGCCCACCAGAGAAGCTGCTCCAGACAGTACCATCGTGGCAAACGGAGACAAGGAAAATGGCGAGGTGCAGACAAACGGAGAACTCCGGGTTAATGGGGAAGGGGTGGAAGTCAGTCTGAACAACGAAGCAGTTCCTAAGAAATCCAAAGACTCCTCTGAAGCATCTGCTAAGAAAGTGGAAACTAAACCAGCTATACCAGCAGTTCCCAAAACTCCGCCACCCGCCTCAAAACCAGCGGAACAACCAGTTCCATCACCCACCAGCAACACGGCCCACTACCAGCAATCCTACACTAACGGAGGTTACTACGGGCAACAACATTACCACGGTTACTACTCCGGGTACTACGGACAACAACAACAACAACACCCGGTGTCATACAACCCTCATCACACCTACAACAACACCCAGTACAACAACGACCCTTACAACCAGGGTTACCACCACCCTCCCCACCAGGGGTACCAGTATTATCACCACCAGCACCAGCAACAACCCCAGTATCACCAGGTGGCACAACAACCCCCTCACCCTGCCCAGTATCAGCCCAGTCCCTTACTTGGTGAACAGGCGCTCTACGTTTCCAGATCCAAACAGGTATAACTTAGTTTTTTAGTTTCTTGTTTTTGTAATTTATTTACATCTATTAAAGACCATAATCGAAAGGAAACACGCTCGATACATCTCATGATTTTGGGTTATTATCAATATCTATTGTGTTAATATTATATAATTAATGCTGATTACTAACTAACTCAAACAGATCACAAACACGGGACGCTCACGAGCCAGACAACCCCGAGCTAGAAGCGGGACTCCAAGCAAAAGGAAACAGGCACCCCCTTCACCCCTCAGTCTGGATGTAAATAAGGACGTGGCTAACCGAGGTGAGCTTTTTTAGAGGAGCTTATTAAGGGAAACATGGCAACATTTAAGTGCGTCAAAATTTAGTGAAAGGTGCGATTCCGCACTTGCCTAAAAATGCTTAAGGTGCGGCAGGCCAGGTGTTGTGCGGCAAATTTGGTGAATAGTGCGGCGAGTCTGGGCCTAGCTGACGTCTTAAAAAACTTGCTGACGTAATTTATGAAAATATGAACGCTCCCTAACAACAAAAAGCAACTAATAAGAATAAGTTAAATACAGTATGATAATTATTATAAGTTATCTCACAGCATACAGGTATGATGATGTGATTCTCCGTAAGCTGTGACTTGTAAGGGTACAATCCTCGCGTTGGAATCATTGGAATGTTTATCTACTCTGCAAAAAATTTGTGTCCTTTTACCCAAAATTATACCTGTAATCTGAATTCTCAAAATGGAATCATTGGTATGAATTTTGCAATAATTGCTACTCAGCAGTCATATTTCGTCCAAAAATATCGTTATGATTTGGCGGCAAGATTCTTTACCCTCCTTCGGTTAATCAGGAGGGGAGGTGGAATTTTCGGCTGAATTCGGTTCCGGCTTTAATATCCGGTTACGGCCCGGTTTAAAAGCTGTATAGCCGGGAAACGGCAAATAGTGCGATTCCGCACCTGTCGCACTAATATGTTGCCTCTGGAAACATGGTATATACATTTTCGTTCTTAAACTAATGATAGAGCCATTTCAATCAATTTACAATTGATATACTTTTCTGACTGGGAATTGGAACCCGATTAACATAATACGATTTCAGCTAGTAAAGAAGGTACCGAAGTTGAGAAGATTTTACCCCCGACCCCTCCAAAAGAAACAAAGAAGCAGAAAAAAGTATTCGACATTAGAATAGTGAGTCTAACTCTTTTAAACCCTCTAATTCTTCTTGTTCATTTTATAACTTGATTTAAATACGGATAATTTCTCAATAGTTTAGTTGTGTTAGCAGTTAACAGCTTGAATAACATTCAACTTTATTTATATTATGTATACAAATATATCATTTCAACATCATTCTTATTCCATATGTGGTATTATAACTAAATTCTCCCCTCAGCCACCCAAGAAACGCGTACGCAGTTGACGAAGATAATGCAATTAGGACTGTACCAGTTTTATAGCCTCCAGAAGATACTATCTCATTACAGAAGATACTATCTCATTACAGAAGATACGATCTCATTACAGAAGATACGATCTCATTTCAGTACTCGCAGCTTTACTGACAGAGTAATTTAGCAGTATTTGATTAACATTTACGCTTAATCGTAAATTTAAATGATTAAATTTGTATTCTTTAAAATGATGGTTTAGGGCTATAATAATAGTCAGCAAGTTTATAATGTTTAAGGCAGGGAAGGTGTCACCATGGATATGGGAGACGAAGTCCTGAATAGTTGTTCACAGTTTACATATAGACTAATAGACCGTTAGGTAAGTTTTTACATTTATGAATAGTTAAAGTTTAGAGGTACTCAGAAATAATAAATTATATTTGTCAGGTATTTTGTTTAAGTTGAGTAATAACAATATGATTATCATGTATTTGTATATGAACTGAACATTTTCTTTTACGTCAGGAACGAACACACTTCATCATATTGTGTGATCCACTGTATTAATGAAGGTTAAAGGTTATTAATGAAGGTTATAAGTTAGGAGTTTTGGTTAATAATTAATTAATTGAGAGATTTGATAAACAATAAACTATTTCTTACATGATATTTAGCTGTTGAGTAATTTAAGTAAGTTAATGGATTTTCGGTTACATTTTTGACGATAAATTGCAGCAGTATGAAATGCGGCCAGGATTACTCCAATTGTTAGGTGGTCGTTTTCGTGTGGCAGGGACACTATCCAAATTTGTCACCAGTTTAAGGTACATAATTGTCTCGGAAGTTGCCCTCAACCAAGCTGACATGTTTCCTTAATATTACATTCCGTACTAAAGTTAGTTTTTATCATTTGACCTTCGGCCACTAAATATAAAGATGCACACTATAAACAATAATATACAGTTTGCCACGAAACACAGTTACAACAGGGACTGTTTCTGAACATTTTTTTCATTTTAAATCAGAACTATCGTGGTTTTCGAAGAGGCCTCGGTTTAACAATTTCAATAATTGAATTTAAAACCACCCTTTTTTACCACGCGATTCTGCGATCAATCTTCGTCTTTCGGTGAGGACAATTATTATCTGTCCAGTCTATAGTCTTGCAACTATTTCTGACCTACTGTTATATTAAAATCACATGGTATGTTGGAATTACCAACACAAATCCGTTTATTGACATAAAGGTTTCGAATTCTATATTTGAATACACTTCAGTTACATTGATATTAAATGTTTACAGTTACTGTTATAAGATATTCGTTTTAATTGGTTCTTCTCTTTAAAATCAATCAAAATTAAAATGGCCAAGGATTAGAATTATAATTTGCAGACACTTCACCTAGCCATGAGTCAACGCATACTGCGTGACGCGCTTGTTTCACAACAACAGTAACGCGAGGGGGGGGGGGGGGGCTCATGCTTTTTGTCCGTTCGGTACCCTATATTTTCAAAACGGACAAAAAATAACAAAAATGGAAAGAACATTTAGATGCTTCCTCCTCCACCTCGTCCTCCTCCTCAGTCCTCCTGGGTCCTCTTCCTGGGTCCTCCTTCTCCTCTTCAGTCCTTCTCCTCCTCAGTCTTCCTCCTCCCGCTCAGTCCTCCTCCTCAGCCATCCTCCTCAGTCCTCCTCCTCCTCAGTCCTCCTCCTCCTCAGTCTTCCTCTTCAGCCCTCAGGTCCTCAGTCCTTCTCCTCCTGAGTCCTTCTTCTTCTTCTCCTCCTCACCATCAGTCCTCTTTCTCCTCCTCAGCCCCCTCCTCCTCCTCAGTCCCCCTCCTCCTCTTCCTCACTTTCATCTCTCAATAATTTGTTCAATTTATAATTATTGTTGGTGTTATTGTTTACACAATTTATTGTTATACTAAAATGTTTTTAAACGTATTTGAGTCTGACTCAAAATGTGCTCAAGAATCTTTTGGCTTAACAGAGTTTCACTCTCCAGTAATAATAATATGGAAAAGTTGTTACATGATATTTTTCATTTAAAAATTCCCTTTTCATCCCTTTTTATGTTATTCTTTGTACCTAATTGAGGATTAAAAATTTGAGAAAGGACCATGGTCATTAACCGGGCTACCCATTTCTGCAAATAGCCTGTTACAAATTGTGGAGAAAATTTAAATCAAAAGTTACAATTTTTGTCCGTTTTTGTCCGTTTTGTCCGTTCGGTACCCTATTTTCTGAAAACGGACAAAATTGAACGGAGAGGGCTCTGGTTAGAGCAAAGCAGACACTATCAACTATACTACAGTTGTCATACGTTGTATGACCCGCCGCGCACGAAGTGCGCGACTCCCCCTGTATCGTCAGGACGATAGTGAAACGACCGTGGGGGTCGCAACGACGCAACGTGATACAATACTAGAGTTAGTTTGTAGTTGGTCTATACATCATTATTTCATATTTGCTCATAACTCGTCAAGATTAAAAAATGATTTTCATGCTACGTAATAGGTCTTATTCGAAATCAGCGTAAAAAATACATTGGTATACTTATAGCTTACTTTCACAATAATCACAATCCCACAGCTTACTCATACAACAAAAACATATAAGTATCATGTAGACGAAACGGTCGAAATTTAATTGCAACCATGTATAATTTTGTATGCTAATTTCGAATTTGGAGGACTTCGCCGCTTCGACTAGACACGCCGCGCAAACTAGCATTCTTGCTTCGCATCGTTGCTCTGCTTCCCCTTGTCATACGTTGTATGACCCGCCGCGCACGAGTGCGCGGCTCCCCCTGTATCGTCGAAACTCTACAGGTCACTATAGTGAAGCGACCGTGATACAAGCTTCCCCCTGGTTTGTTATTGTTTGCAAATTGACTATGACCGCCGCCTTTAGCGTTTTTACGATACACTAGGGCCGGGAGCCGCGTACTCGTGGGCTAAAACATAAAACCAGGTTTTCGATCATTGGATCGCGCCGCGCATCAAATAATGTTTAGATCGACGAGATGCCGCGCCGAGCTGCAAATAAAAGGATTAACTTCGTAAATTGACGCTTGTTAGTGTGATGTGAATTTTTAAAAATTTATATTTAGTTGATCATTTTATTTATTAAAAAAGTTGTTAACAATTTTTATTACGTTCAATTTATTGGATTAGTCTATTCATTTTTGAGGATGTCTTATTTTAACAGGTGATACTCGTAAAATATCTGTTCCATAGGATTAAACAGGATTAAACAGGATTAAACATAAATTTGTCAATGAGAGCCCTAACACTCACGTCTTGACTATACATCAATATAATAGAAATAAATAAATAAATAATGTGCAAGAGTTTTCTTAAAATAAAAATTTAAAAATCATAAAAATTTAACTTCGTCACATCTTTTGTTGAAAGAGAAACAAGTGCAAATAAAATAATTTAATTCCCATGAACATGTTCCAAAATGATATGATATGTTGATCGTGATATGAAATGAAATGAAGCTCGACTTGACCGTCACGTGTCCGCAGAGGAGTTCCGTTGAGGTGTAGCGGGGACTTTACAGCTGGACTTCAGCAGATCCTTCTTAGTGACTTCCTTCTTCGGGAAACGCCTGTTGTTTGCTCTCACCAAGAACCTCGCTGTCTCTCTTATGAGGCTGGTATCTGTGAATAGCCCCTCTAAGTTAGCGAAAAGACAGGTTTTGGCTCTCTGACTAAAGCGGTGTCGGTAGTCTTCATACAGGGAGCAGGTCCGGAGGACGTGTACCTCATCTTCGATGATGGGGTCGAAGAATGGCATTTCTGCGAAATTTTCGAGCATGTCCATGTCCTCTGTTGAGCAAGCTTTACATATCCGAGGTACGATCTGGTTTCTTTTGTGGGTTCCATGACGTCCTGTCTCAATATTGAAATTGTGTGAGCTTGATCTGAATTGAGCCAGCTTTTTGGATTCAGCGTGCGACAGATTCATATTGAGGTACTGCTCATAGCCAAAACTCATCTTTATGGTGTTGTAGAACGTTAGTTTCTTGTTGTTCCATCTCTCAGTGTTCCATATCTGCCTGAAGTTGGAACGCATCGCTTCTTTGATTTGTGAAGGTGAGAGTTTTAGATGATGTCCATTGGGTTGGTTTAGAACCGACCGTGCGGTCTCGATGTTGGTGTTCCAAGAAAGACTGAGGCTGCGTTGCTCTTTGAAGGCATGTCGCACAAGACTGTTAGATCCAGCTTTCTCCATTTTATCTAATCTTTCCCAGTAGTTATACACTTGGGATGATAGCTCTATCGCCAAAGGGTAGCGTCCTGTGTCACCCCAAATTGCCGCATTTGATGTTTGTTTATTGACGTTGAGAGTCCACTTGAGAAACGAGATGTGAAGTTTTTCTAGTGGATCTTGCCTGATCTGTTTTAGGTTGGGAAAGTTACCCGATGAGAAGGCACCCATGAAGTATGTCTGAGGGAGCCAAATCTGGCATCCATAAGAGACTACTGGGACAATAAGTGCATCGAAGAGTTTAAATATTATCTCTTTCCTTATGTGTCGTAAGTCTATCATGCTTTTAAGCGAAAAATAACTCCGAAGTCCTTTCTGCCTAAGTTTGGACTGTGCGACCTTCAGGGATCCTGTCAGAGTGAAAGTCATTCCTAGGTACGTGTACTCACGAACTGAGTCGATCGGTGTTAAACCAAAAGCGAAGGTCTTGCTGTCTTTGAGTATACGACCAGCGCGGTTGAACACCATGATAGCGGTTTTAGACATGTTGACCACTAGGCCCCACTCCTGACAGTAGGCGTACAGAACAGAGAGCATTTTATGTAGGCTTTCAGGATTCAAAGCCAGAAGTACTAAGTCATCAGCCCAGAGCAGATGTGTCACCTTGATGGAGTTAATGATGGGCACTTCGATGTTATCTAGCTCGTTCAGTTCTTCGGAGAGGGCATGTACGAAGCATTTGAACAGTTCCGGGGACATGGGATGCCCTTGTTCAGTTCCACAGAGGACGTCAATCTTCTCAGAGAGCTTGTTGAGGAGTTTTATTTTTGCAGATGAATGGGTGTACATGTGTTCCATACAATTGAAAAATCGCCCTTGAACTCCTAGTTTCCAAAGTTTGTAGAGTAGCGCTTCCCTACAAACAGTGTCAAAAGCCTTTGCATAGTCTACAAAGCAAGAGAAGACTCGTTTCTTTTCGACTTTAACATATTTTTCAATGCATGTTGAGAGCGTTAGTATGTGATCTGCTGTTTGAGCACCCTTGCAGAAACCCAATTGGTTTGGAGTATCAGGGTTCACTACGGATCTAAATTCAATTAGTCGGTTGAGCAAAATTCCCGCAAAGAGTTTTCCCAAGTTGCTGGCCACTGCTATCGCACGGTAGTTGTTTGGGTCATAAACATTACCCTTTTTATGTAGCGGAGTCACGACAGATGTGCTCCACGGGTAGACACCAAATGACAGACATTGGTTGAATAGGTGCAACACAGCTGATTGCATGTTATTTCCCGATGATTTTAGGAACTCATTAGATATCATATCTTCGGACACTGCCTTATTTTTTTTAAGCGTCCTGATGTTGTTACACAGCTCTTCAGAAGAGATATCATGGTCGAGAATTTCCGTAATGCTTGATTGCGTGGTGTCTTTTACCATCTCGTTTTGTAGCCCTGTGATTTTTAGGTTGTCCATAGATGGTTTGCTGTAAAGATCTTTGAAGAATTTACAGAAATTGAACATATCAAACACGTCCAGCGTACTGTCTTTAGTTTTCATCTGTTTAAGTCTCTTGAATCTCCCCCAGTTGACATTTTTGCCTGACTCAATGTCTCTGCAGAGTTCTTCAATGAAGGCAGACCTCTTCGACTTGATGAGTTTCCTATAAGATCGACGCGTATCGTAGTACAATTCCCTGAGATATTGACTTGATGGGTTTTTCCCGTATGATTTAGCCAGCCTATTAAGCTCCCGTTTGCTGTTGATGCATGACCCATCAAACCATGGGGATTTTGGCTTCATCCGGTGCCTTTTGACTCTGTTCTTACTTCCTGGTTTCGGTTTGGTTTGCGAGTTGGATTTTTTCGGCAAAACCGTGCCCGCTAATTCCTGGTACAGAGAGACGAGATTACTATTAAGTTCGAGTACGTCGTTTTTATTGTTGCAACGGGTTGCCGATATCCTGGTTATCTTCGTTTGGAATTCCGGAGAATTTTGAGCAGCCAGAAAGTTGAAGTGAGTCCCTTCGTCTTCGTTGTTCCATTTGTATTTAGTGGGCGCATCTTCAAGAGAATCGAGAAGATCTGACGTATCAATTGT